CTTTAGATATAAGGTCTTTTTAACTAATTTATAGAAACTAATAGTTTTTCTAAACTATATAATTATTTTTTAGCTTTTTAAGAATTGTATTTGCTACTAATTACTCCTACTTTTATTCTTTATTAATTTTAATTTATAGATTTTATTTATTTATTTCCTTAATATTAAGCTTTTAAAGCTTATAGAGGATATTTTAAAGATTTTTACTATATATATTATATAAAGTTTATTTTTAATAATATTTTTTAATATTTATTATAGTTATAAGCTAGGAAGCTTTTTAGCTAATTTAATCTTTAATCTTATTAAATATAATTAAATAGCTATTAATTAGTATTTTCTTTATTTTAGTTAATATTTAAGTTTTTTATTATATTAATAAGAAAGCTAATTCTAAAGATACTTATAAAAAATATATTTAATTTTTATTTTTACTATTAATAAATAAAATTTAAGTATTAAGCCTAGATTATAAAAAGAATAATATTTTTTAAGCTAAGCTATATCTTTATTCTTATATATCTTATCTCTTTAAAGCTTATATAGAAAAGAGTATTTATATTTATTATTATTAAAGATTTTAATAAAGTTTAAGTTTACCTAATTTTTTCGTTTTATATTCTTAGCTAATTAAGTACTATTGCTATTTTTTAAAAGGGTCTATAACTATATTAAAATATTTAAATTATTTTTTCTAGTTTCTTATTTTAAGTTATTTTATAACTTAGCGTTTGCTATTTAATATAAACTAGCATAGAATAATTATTTATTTATATTAATATTTATAAAATAATTTATAATCTAAAAGAAGCTTCTTTTAATACTAATACTATTCTTCTATATCGCTTTACTTATATATTAATAGAATAAATTAAGATTTTTTAATATATTATAATTAATAATATTTATAATATTTAAATTATTAGCCCCTAGCTTATACTTTTCTATAGTAATAAAAATTTAGATATTAAATAATTTAGCTAGATTACTATAGTTATTAGGTTTTTTAAACTTAAATAAAATTCTTATTTTATTAAAGTCTACTATAAATATAAAATATAATTAGATTTAGTCCTTTACTGTAGGTAGATATTAGAATTCTAGAAGTTATTTTAAATATATTAATAAGATAAATTATTTAACTTTTAGAATAGTTTAAAAATAGAATATAGTTTTAGGATACTAAATTAACTTAAAAATAAGATTTATACTAATAAAAAAATACTATAAATCCTTAAAGCTATTTATCCTTTTTTAAATAAATATTATATAGATTATAATCTTTAAATCGTTATTTAGTACTTAAACGATTAAGTTTAAGAAATTAAAACTTATTACTTTTTTTACTAATACTTTTGCTATAGGTTAGAGGGTGGCAGTTATAGCTAAATATAGTATTTAAAGTAAATAGGCCCGCAGAACGCTTAATTTAAAGTATTTTAAACAAAAATCTATTTAATTTCTAATATAATAAACTTTATTAAATATAAATAAACAAAGTTAGTTATAAAAAAACTAAAATTTAATTATATTTTTATAGAATTCCTTTATAAAAATCAATTTTAGTTTAATAAATATTAATTTAAATTAACTTATATTTTAACTATAATATTAATAAATATAGTTCTTATTTAAAAATTAAGTAAATTTTATATAGCTATTATAATATGAATTAAGTTTATAATTATTAAAAATTTAAATAAAATTTATATAAAATTTATATAAAATTATAGTTAAACTTTATTAAAATTTTATATAGATTTTTATTTGCTATTTAAACTTTTATTAAACTTTTAAGTAAATAATATTATTATATTAATTAAAATTCTAAGTAATTTTTTATTAGAGATTAAATAAAAATTAGAAGTTATTAAGGTTTTAATATATAAAAAGTAATTATAAATTATATATAAAATACTTAGTAGTAATTATATATTATAACGCTTATATATAATTATTACTATTATATATTATAGCTTAAGCGTTTAAGATTTTATTTATAGTTATTATTACCTAATATTATATAATTTTTAATAATATAATAACTAATACTATATAAAAATAATTAAAATAAAATAAAAAAATAGCCTAAGAAATTAAGCTTTTACTAATACCTATTTTTATAATTAATATTATTAACTCCCTTTAGTATATTACTTACTAAATTATATTAACTTAAATAAGTTTTTTTATAAATTTAAATAATTTTTTTATATAAAAGACTATATTAAATTTAATTATATTTTGTGTTATAGGTAGCTATAGATTTGTAAAAACTAAAAGCTTATAGATAACTCCTATTTATATATTTTTTATAACTTATACTTTTACTTTAATTAACTTTTTTATTAGCTAAAATACTATAAAAAGAAGCTTAGTATTTACTTCTAAGTATTCTATATTATTTAATATGTTATTTAATTACTAAAAGCTATTTATATTACTATTTAAAAAACTAAAATAAATATCTATCCCTATAGTTATATTTAATATATTATTATTAATATTTAGGCTTTTACTACCCTCTATATAATAGTAAAATAGTATATTTAATATTCTTCTTTTATATATAAAAACTACTTAGTCAAAGTTTATAAAAGAGGAAAAGAAGCTTTAAAGCTATATATATTATTAATATTACTTATAAATATAAAAAAGGATATAAAGGTTTAAATAAGCTAAGAAAAAGGCTAGAATTAGTTAATCGCATATATTAAGGTAAAAATATAGGGGCGTATTATTAAAAACTTAATATTTTAAAAATTTAGTATAAATTATATATTTAAGTATTTATTTTATAGTTTTTTAGGCTTTTTTTAGTCTTATTATTATATGCTAAAAAAGTTATTAATATAAAGCTGAAAATTTAAAAATACCGACTTTCCAGAGCAGGCATGCTATTATAAAAAGCCGCGAAGCGAACTAAACTTTTTATAGCCTGGTCCCCACGCTAGCTTGCCTAGCCTGGGGACTAGCACGCCTTAGGAGGCAATTCAACCTAATGGAAATTGAAGTTTCCCAATCCACCAACGACCGCTTTCCTGGTGTCTTGTCAGGCACAAAAATCTTTTCAGCGATGGCAACTATCGCATCGAGCATCAGAGCCTTCGCTACTGAGATGAAGATCTTTTAGGAACACTCATTAGGACAGTCAGGCGGGTCAACGATTCTGATTGCACCCTCACCAGCACCTTTCGGCCGCCAATCTCACATCGCTTACGTGGTCCAACTAGAGTTGTGAAGCAGTCTCATCGTTAGAGAGTCAAAACCCATGCTGTTAGCTTGTATAAAGCTCTTGGGGCTGGGTCGGTCAAGGTGGGGGGCGAAAAGGGGCCAGGACACACGGGCTCCGGAAATGCAACGATCCTTCGCCGGATACCTATCGAATCTATGATGCTCTCTCTAAAATGTTGTGCAGAACTTAGTGGTGGCGAAATCTGGACCGCGCTGCTCTCGTGGCTGTTGCTCAGCGGCCTCGGCGCATACATTGCCTCGAAGTTGGCCGTCTCGAGAAGAGGCAATCGTGATCTTGATGGCTGTGTGATGGACTGCGTTCTCAAGCAATGTTGTTGACTGGTCAAAATCTTATTGCGCAGAGAATGGTGGTTCTTGGACATTCCCTATCGCTCGAAGCATTTGCGAATTGAAGATTGCTACATGGATTGAAACAGTCGGTGACCCTTGCCATGCAAGAGTGGCTCGATGGTCTACTGGCGCTTTTCAAGCGAAATTGTTCGCTTTTGTGATTAAAGCTCGCTAATTCAATCGGTCCTCAAAAAGTCCTAAATGGATAGACTCACATCGAGAACTGGGTCACAAGCATTTCTCGGTTCAATGCGCTTCCTCTCGCAAAGACAGGGAAGGGTTAAAGTAGTGGCATTTGGATGACACACCCGTAAAAGATCTCTTGTGCGCCGATAATATCGAGAACTAAAGGACGATATAGATCTATAAGATTCACGAGGCGGAAGGCTGATTCGGTGACAAAGCCCTTCGCAAACCCGAGATAATGCCACTTTCTGAACCGTGCTGGCCAGAATAAAAGCAGCCCCAACCGCAGCGATCGATTTGCAGTCTTCGGAATGATCAGTTCAACAGGTTGAAGGAAGTGCGATTTCGATGGTGTGAGAGGCTTTGTCTGATAGGCGGCCCTAAACGACTTGTCTCATGTTCCTCAAACCCCATCCTCAAACTCCATCAAAACTGCGTCTTGGCCCTTATGATAACCCCCGAAACTGGTTAGCCCTCTGGACCAACAGCAAAACTCGTCCGGCTCATTTGAGTATCATTTCGACGTCGTTCTGCAAGCCTTTGTGTATCTCATCAAGAGTAAAATCATGTAACACCAAGATATTTGCTTAGAATCTAGAGCAAAGCTGCTGTATCGCACACATCATGCCAGCTAGGTTTAGTTCACATCATCTTCCGCCCGCCATGCTGAAAATACCAAGCTACATTTTCTGACGCACTCATTGTTCCCTGTAGAATCTCCATGGCCCCATCAGCCCGAGGTGTGCTTGCTTCCGGCGTCTGGGCCTGGGTCAAGTTTGACTATTTGGGGCGCGATTCAGCAAGACACACCAATAGTGACTGAGGAGGGCTGAAAAGGCGAGAGCTTAGAGATGGTGTGACGAATGTTGGGTCAGCTTCAACATACACGGCCGTCTGAGATCAACACAAAATCCGTTGGGAAAAGACCAGATGGTGCATTTTCCAGTTGTAATAGCCCCACAAAGTCTCCCCCCCCTCCCCCCTCCACATTGACATGAAGTTTTGGGGTCGACAGCGTTCCTGTGGGGCGATGTGGAAGAGTGTCAACAGCTAGTAAGTGAAAATAACCATCCATTGCCGTATATATATTTCGTACGTCCGATCAAGTGCAAGAGTATACGCAGTCTCATCTTCACATAATAAGTACATCGGAGGCTCGTTGATAATTCGCTCTTTGACTTCATTCGCTACTCTCATTCCCATATCAACTGATACATTTCCATTGGACGATGAAAGTCAACCTCTTCTCGACATTCCTCATTTTTGGTCTCTTGACTCACGTCTTTGCTAATGTAGCGAAGCCTCGCTCCTTCCGTAGTGTCAAGAGATATGAAGACGCTATCTTGATCTCAAGAGCAGAACCGGCTGATGGTGGTGCCTCGCCAGGCGGTTCCTCTCCTGGTGCCCAAGGGTCCCAGAACTCTCCTGGTAAAGATAGCTCTTCTCAGCAGAAGCCCGCTCAACAGCAAGAGAAACCCGCGCAGCAACAGCCAGCTCAGCAACAGCCAGCGCAGCAACAGCCAGCGCAGCAACAGCCAGCGCAGCAACAGCCAGCGCAACAGCAGCCAGCTCAGCAACCCAAGCCCAGTCCTCAACCGAAGCCAGCTGAACAACAAAAGCCTGCATCAGACCAAAAGCCGGCCCAACAAGAACCAGCTCAGCAACCAAAAGAGACCCCCAAAAACCCCGCCCAGCAAGCGCCGGGGTCGCACCAGACTCAGGGTAAAGTTCCTGATCAACAACCAAATCGTCAACCAGCAGCCGGAGGGGATGGCAAACAAGCCCAAAAATCACAGAGCCAAGGTCCTGCAGCAGATCAACCAGCTCGGACAAAGGCGGCGGGAGAACCCAATGCCGGGAGGCCTACTCAGAATGCCGAATCAAATCAAAAGCCGACAGGTATGGCGGGTGATCAAGTAGTAAAGTCCCGGGACCAGCAGGATGGAAGACCAACAGCTCAATCAAATCCAGCCAAGTCACAAGGCGCCCAAAACAAAGCAGGAGACGGCAGCTCAGAGCGTGAGTCTCTACCCACCGGTAATGGAAGGAGTGGCAATCAAGCCCATTCAGCCGTACCTACCAATGGAAATGGCGGTGAGCAAAAGGAGCAGCGGACCGAAGGCCACGGCAGTTCAAGGGCCTACCCAACAGGTGGCGCATTTCAAACATCAGGAGCAGGAGGTCAATTCCTTGACCGGGAAGAAATTGCGAAGCCCACCCATACAAACGACGGAGGTGTTGGAGACGCTTCTAATTCAGCAGACCCAAGGGCTTCCGCACTGAAGACCGATGAACGTGGCCTTGCAGATCAAACTACACCTGCAGGAGCAGCCAACACAAACTCTGGCAAGGCTGGTAACACTGCAGCTGGACATTCGCCCACTGGTACGAATCCTAAAGAGAGCGGCAATGCCAAAAGTAAGCCGAGTGAAGCTGCTACTCAGACTAAAGGCCAAGGTCAAGATACAAACTCAAAGCAGACAGCTCATCCAACATCTGGACAAGACAATGAACGGAAAACTTCTGAAGGAGCACAAACGCCTACAGGTCATCATACGACTGGGGATGGAAGTAATGAGAGTAAGACTCGCTCCGCGGAGAAGGGTGCTTCGACCGATTCGCGTACAGGTGGTGATAAAAGCAAAGGGACTCAGACTGGTTCCGCTGACAAGGACAGTCCCACAAGCAAGCCTACTGGACATCCTACGGGTGATGCAACAACTGGGAAAGAAGAGAGCGATTCCCATCGTGCCACTGGAACTCCGACTGCTGCAGGCAAGAGTGGCGATCAAACTCGTACAGGCAAAGCTACAAGTCATCCTACTGGTGATGCGACAACAGGCAATGGAGACAAGAGTGGATCTCATCAAGCCACTGGGAGCCCGACTGCTGGATCTGGAGGGAGCAGCGTCTCATCGGGTGGGGAAGAGCCCACATCTGGAAGTGAAGGTAATAGCGGCTCCCACGGTGCAACGCCTAGCCCAACGGCTCGATCTGGAGGGAGCAGCGTCTCTGCGGGTGGGGAAGAGCCCACATCTGGAGATGGAGGTAATAGCGGGCAATCTGCCACACCTACACCTGCACCAGGAAGCAACAGTCAATATCCCAATGGAGACACCCATGTTTGGGCTCGAAGTGCTACAGTCTTTTCTGACATAGGACTTCCTTCTGCAACTATTCCAAGAGCTTCAGCTATCCCGTCCCAGTCGATAGACGGCCCACTTCCTACCAATTCCTGCAGTGGAGTCGCCAAACAAAAGCAAGCCCTTAGAGATCAAGGCGGTACGGATGAAGGTAAAGAGCTCCAGATTCCAACGTTTCATATGTACGACTGATTGTTATGATCTCTCTAGACTACGCCATCTCCTCAATGGAGAAGTAAGCGATCCCTGCCGTTGCTCATTGGATATCCAAGACTCACTAAGCGTGACTTAGTTTCGGCGATAATTGTGGCTACGATCAAATCCAGCCTGCTAGTACGGACAATAAAACCGGTGATTCCATGAATTGCGGCCCTTTCAGGAATAATGGTGAGCCATTCGTTCCCCAACTCTCACCATATGCATGCGTTGCTGATGTATTTAGTTGGTACTATCAAAAAGGCTTGTACCGACGTCACTGCAGGTGGCGCATCGGATGACGAGATTTGTGATCGTCTCAAGTAAGGACTTGGCGCAAAGACCTACCTCTAGATAGGGATACTGACTGGAGAATAGGGATACCACAACGGCCCTGAATTGCCAGCACGCACAGATCGATAAATGGGGTCAAGAGGGGTTTTACCAGATGCAGAGGTACGATCTGCCTTCATTATCCTACGGTCTTCAAAGTCCGGTTGCGCTAACGACTCTCGATACAGATGTGGCCACATGTGTTCTACCGATACAAGCGATCAGCAAAACTACCAGTACGTCTTGATAATTTTCCCACACCTTCTGTTGATATCGCTATCAGGACGCTGATGCTTCGAGACCTAGGTGTGTCCTTGGTGATGATGGCAAACCCAAACCGGGGACGGGAACTTGCCAGGACGAGACCAACGCTTATAACGCTGCAATCGATCATGTCACTAATTTTGCAAATCAGAATCCAAATAATGATCTCTCGGGTGGATATTATTTGCATCCGATATGAGGAGGGTGTGAAAGGGGTCTCTCTTGAGATTGATCAGTTGGGAGCAAGATCCTTGGGAGAAGGGATGGTAGAGTAGTAGATTTTGTGAGGATCCAATGTTGGCATGGGTGCTGTGAATATTACGAGTGCTCCAGAGACATGGAGAATACCGAACATAAGACATTGTTGGTGTCACTAACTTCCTAACGATACAATTATTGCATCCCTGCTTCATCGAACATCCCCTACTTGTCCCTTCTCCGCCCCCTTCGGCCTTCACCCCCTCCACCCCCTTCATCGCCCCACAACCCATCCCCTATCCTCTCTTCCCCTACCACACCCAGCAATCGCAGGATTCAGGCACGTCAAAGCCCCCCCCCCTCCATAGCGACGCACCAATTCCGATTCAAGCCCGCCTGGAAATCAATTTTAATCAGCTACATCATATCAACACTCCTCAACCTACGCTATCAATATAATACTAGGCAGGTCTCGCCTTCGGTTATGGCCGGTCGTGTAGAATTGATGGATGGCGCCGTCCTGGGGCTGGGATGGACGTGGAGGAGAGAGCAAGATTCCGTGTCAGGCTTCCCGATCCAATCTTCCTACCACGCCCCCCCCCTCCCCCAGCTCTGTTCCCGAAGAAATGTTGGGAACTCGTCGTTAGGTTCAACCAGCATCTGTACGAGTTCAACATATGCGGGGGCTCTACTTTGTAGTCATTGTGCGGTAGGTGTGAAAATTCCATAAACCTTCCCCGAACATCTCAAGGGTCCCGTCGTCCTCTCGCTGCTGTGCAGCTGGTTCGGCTTATGGGAGATTGGAGTGTTCATGTGCTTGATACTTTTGGTGCTTTGCCAGGTTTTATGACCTTTACGCTGCTGATGTGGACACAATGGCTTGCGTTGTTTTGTGTCTCATTATCAGCATCCGTTTTCAAGCCCTTCTTTTTGCAGAGTTAGGCCGTTTGATGGTCAGTTTGAGACGATTATTTTCCTGGGAATAGCCCTTGTTAGTCTTTTTGTTTAGATTAGTAATACTATTTCTGTGGAATCATGATCTGACATGCCGCCTTCTTCCTCCCAGATTCTCGATACTTCAGTCAGGAAGGAATCGATGTTTTGCCGTCTGTTCTGAGCATGTTCTCGAGGATACTGGTGAAGTGAGACAGTCGGGGGAACTGTGTATTCTCGATTAGCTGGTGGAGTTTGGTGATGGTATGTGAGAGCGTGGGAGGTGCAGTGTTTTCATTGGGAAAGGGGCATGGCATGGGACTTAGAAAGTCGACCAAGGGATCATGCAAATTTCAATGTAGACGAACTCATGTACACACAAAATGAATAGTCCTCGGGTACCTGTAAGAGGTAGTCAAAAATAACAAGCAGGCTGCACGTACAATATATGGATTACGAGAGGGGTTGATGCAAAAGCAATCAAGGGTGTCACGAAGATAATGACATCTCGGAGTCAGAGTGCGCTGGGGCAATTCTTTTAATATCTTTATACTTCAGGCCCATTTTCAATTGAACTTGTGCTTCTCTCGCGGAATTATTAGTTTTGCTCTTGGGCAAGCAGTGGTGGTGGGGTTTAATTCCACGCTAAGATCTATTTCAGTGTGATCGCCTATCCGTTGAGGGTTGTCGTCAATAATTAATCTCGTTATATTGTGGGTATGGTGCTCGCAATGTGTTGACAAAGTGAATCATTTCCATCAGCTGCATTTGGTATAGCGTCAAAACCGCTGAATGACTTTGGATCGCCACCTTCGATTTCAAGTTGTTACTTCTATCCATCATACCTACTCATTTTACATGAATTATATCCACGTTACTCAATCATGACTTAATGTAATCGCGGTTGGGCTATCCCAATCCATCCTACCGAATTTCTTGCCAGGCTCAAAGCCTATCAACAAAGTCGAGAGGCTATCGATGTAATCTACGACTTTGCAAGCCACACCAACACCAATCGAATCAGCAACTTCCCACTCGAAATCCTCGACATGATCGTCCACGAACTTCTGGACAGCTACTACCACTCTCTGATATCGCATGAGCAAGGTGTTGAAGACTGCTGCTCTCGTCGGTGTTTAGACAACAATCGACTGGACCATCTCAGCGAAGCGGAAAAAGCAACGTACAATGAGAGACTGGTTCTCCATGTACAAGGACAGACAAATCTGGATACGTCTTTCCTGTCGCGGGTTAATCTGCAGGTGGAGAAGCTACGTAAGCTCAACAGGAAGCGCCATTACAAAGCGTTGAGATCAATCAAGAAATCTGTTAATCATCTCAAAGAGACTTTCAAGGTATGTCCGCAACTCAGATCACCGACACACTTGACGTCTAACACCTGCAAGTCGTGGCAGTGGGCCAAGCAACATGACATCGGCCTGGTTCGAGACTTCGGAATACGCCCAGGCCTCAAGTCCACTGTGCGCCGAATCCGAGACATCGAGTTCTTTCCCTATGAAATAGACGCAATCCACGACCAAATCAAGAATCCCACCTATATCTATCGCATCCAGATGGACGCTTTTCTCCTTCTGCCCGTCAGCGAAGCAGAGCACGCTCAACTCCAGGACAAAATCTCCAAGCAGCCCTGTTATCTGGAAGATCATAATCTTCTCATGCCGGAAATCCAGAAGCAAGCACTCAAAAAGCTGGCGAAGACGCTCAACATGCTTCCTGCAGGCGATTCGCGTCTCAAGCTGAGGCAATTAGAGACTGCGTTGGAGCTCCTGGGCGGTGAGAGTTCTGGCAGTGAGGACGACGATTATGATGGGTCAATCTTGGGTGTTAAGGGGAATAAGAGATATCCACATGGAGATAGGTTTACTGGGAAGCCACGGCTCATTAATCTGCAATGAGTGCATATGGTGAAGTGGGAGATTAATTCTGCCCACCCATTTGAGCCTAGACACCATCTAAATTAAAAATCGACTTATAGGTGCGTGATCACGAAGGAGCAATTGGAAATGTGACTTTTTGAATCCGAAAATCTCGGCTGCGAGGGAAAGTGTGTCAGTGAGCAGAGATGCAAAGGATGAAGCGCTCATAGTGTGCGTATATTGTAAAATATTAGTGATGAACAGTGTCGGAAGATTTGGAATGCCTATTGAAACCGTTTCCCATTGTTTGTCGGTTGTTAAAAGACTTCAGTCGTTGAGATGCCTACCATTGTGTACGTTCCCCTGCTAGACAGAAGTCTAGTCCACATCCGTGCCTGACGAAAATGATCCATCCACGCTATTTCAGGGTCGTTCGGAATTGCAAATGTCGATGCATGATGGACGACCCAGGTCTTGAGAACTTTAATTCAATGAAGGTCCGTTCTCGAACACCCTCCCCATGTCTCTCCTCCCACATTTCGTCTGTTATACCGCAGCCAGGGGGCATCTTCGCTTCCTTGAGTTTTCCCATCCAATGTTGCCATTTGAGCTGGCGGCGACGCTCATGATATGTATGGCTATGAGACGAGCATTCGATGCAATCAATGTTGAATGCGGCGTATATTGCTTCAGCGCGTGGAAGAAGGTCTCTTAGTTTTTTCAATTCGTCTTCCAGAGACCTCTTACATGGCCAACAATCTAGGTTAGACGGTTCGAGGAACTTGGAGAATTCTACGAATTGGTCGTCGATCGGCACGGCCACTTTCCTTCTCACAAATTGCTCTTTCTTGTGAAGATTAAGCAGAACGTCTGAATGATCGAATTCGAATCGGTATTTGGAAAGTACGATCGGCAGGCATTCCTCAAAAAACGTCATGTGAGCGTTGAGAAGATTGGGGTATAGTTGTGATCTCTCGTAAATGATATACATGTTCAAGACGCCGTCATCACCATCAACGTCTGAGTTCCACATCGCGCGGGATGCGAAGTGGTCGTCGATCACATAGTGGTATATCTGCAGACGAAGCTCTGTTGGGAGTCTCAGTAGTGGGGACATCTGAGCCGATATCGTGATTGTTTAGTTGATGGAAAGGTGTTGGTGTTGGAAAATCGTAGGCTCGAGTGCGGAGGCTTGCAGGGGAAGCTTGGCAGATTAATACGGGTGCGACAAAGCTTGGCAGATTTCCAGGCAGAGGACATGAATCTCCACCGTTCCCCCTTGGTAAGATTGCATTCTTGGAAGGAAGAAACTATTTGTGGGCCATGAGGGCTTATATAAACTTACTAATCAACACTTGATCCTGTCATCGTGCGTAATACCACGTTTGGAGAAGTATCACGTTTGCTGTGTCTACTTACCTATGACACCAACATTGCAACCCCATCTATGCCATGCTAAGGATTATCTAGTCTCGGTACCTCTTCAGCCTACTCCCAGATGATTTCATGTCACCCTGGGTATGTCTTTCCTTGACAGGGCCGAGTATCTTTAATCCCAGCGTTGCCGACTCCATAGCCGTCGAACCTCCTCAGTATTTCACCCCCCTCGTCAAAGCGAAGACTCGATAGCGTGTACGATGAATACGGCAATGGCTCGGGCAGAAGACCTCGAAATTTGAGTGGGTATTAAAGAGTGGAGCGTGCAGGAAGACACGAGACACTTGTCATGACATAAATCTTGCCCTCATTGGAAATACCTTGGCTTCAGGTGCCAAATATGATATGAGGATAGAAATGACTTTGTTGTCGAAAATTGGGGAGAGGAAGACCATGCTAGCGAAAAAAGACTACAACTTGCCACCCTAGGCTCGCGAACTGCGAGCGGACCTCTTGCTTCAGAGATGTCAAAGAGGCGACGAAGTGCGAGTACAAATCAAGCACGCAATGGTGTTATTTCATCAACCGAATCCTCCGTCACGCACGTATGTTGGGTGCTACCGACAACGTTTTGACTTCTATAAAAGAGTGTTCTTGGGAATATATGGCTTTGTTGGAAAGCCTACCCGATTTACCGCAATGTCAAGGCTTTGTTAGAAAGTCTCGGCATATCAATACTCAAAAATCATATAACTCTGTTGATTGGGCAGTCCATCACTCTCCAACCCCACAAATCTCAGAAAACTTCCGTCATTTCGTTTTCACCAATTCCTCGATGCTGAATCAAATTTCCAGGGATCGACCTCTAGAGCTGTAGACGACAACGTCAGTCGCCAGCTTCCAGACAGGTTTCGTCGTCCTTCCAATCGACCGTCTCAGGCGACAAAAGCCTAAAGACTCGGAGGGTACCCGGGGTGCCCCCGCATGGGATCATCACTTGCTCCGTATGCGAGGCTTGTTAAGAAAGATTGTCCGGTCCCTAGAGGGAGCTTCTCGGCACCTTCAGGCTCCCTATAGAGTAGAGGGTGAAAAGGGCTCCCAAAAGGGACCGGGCGATCTTTCTACAGGAGCCTGCATGCACAGCTTAAATGTCCCCATGAGGGGGGACCCCGTGTCCCCTTCGAATAAGGCTTCCTATGGGAGACGGTTAACTGTAGCGTATTGCTATTTCTCACAAAGGGAGGGAGGAGGGGGAGAACGTTACGATGTTGAATACTCTGCAATCCGTTGACAATCCTGCTCACTCAAGCGAGGCCAAGGGTGCCCATGACGGCGACGACCTTGTCAAAGTCTTTCGAGTCCTCCCACACGGCGCCAATAATAGCCTCAATGGTGTCAGATATTGTCCCATTACCAAGAGGGCCAAATTGGCCCGGATGCTTGACGATGAAGGCGTCAAGGCCAAGGCTATTTCCCACACTCGCCAAATTGTTGTTTGACAGAGTGGTCGACACCATGTTATTTCCTATGCCTATGGATAGCATCAGGTACATCTTCCTCGCCATCCTCAAAGATTGTACAGACCTCGAGCGGCGTTACTCAAGTACCAGCGCGTAAGCAAGGCAGCTTTCATGAACGCATCTCCGACAAGGGCAAGACGCTTATTCCCATCGGCGAGATTACGGCCGCCGATATCCCGTGATACGGCTCCCGGTGCATGTAGGGCCTCCCACAAGATGTCAGGGTCCTGGAAAACGCAGCCAGTAATGGCTTCAACGCCTTGAAGCATCTGGTCCTTGCGAGTGGACATCGCTGCCAGTGTGCGTGGGATCGATCTTCGAGAAGTAATATCAAAGAAGCTGAGGGAGTGAGGCCTTCTTTTCCAAAAGCCATTCCCAGCCTTTTCGATCCACCATGACGTCATCAACCAGCCCCCTTGGCTTGGCGATATCTTTTGCATTCCACCAGCAACGGTATCTCCACCTTCATCAGCGAAGTCCTCGTACATCCATTTGAGGCGCTTGTAGGTTGTCTCTTAGCGGTTGTCCACATGATAGAGTCGCCCGTCTCTTGTGCACTTACTTCGGCTCTGTTGTTGTTGTCGTAAGCCGAAGCCGACGGTGTTCTGATTCAGGAATAGGGAGAAGCCGAAAAGCTTTAACGTCGAGAGTGTAGAGAAAGTCGGGGCGTTGGTGATGGATCTTTCGCTGAGCGCCCCTGTTGTTCGAGTCTTCAGAGATATACACCCTGAAAGGTCACGGCGGGACGGATTTCGTGAGCACTGAGGGGTTGGTGTCGTGGCGTTTTACTCGTTGCTATGTCTAGTACGGATTAGAAATGGTGTTTTGAATGGGTAGATACGTCGGTTGGAATTATGCGTACTTCTTGTCGGGCAATCTGAGTCGGAATGTGCTTGAGTCGATTGCGTTGTAGTGTCTTGCAGGATTCAGTATAGAGAGCCTGTCTCTCTGTCGAGAGCAGCTTGTTTGAGAAGCGTTTTATCGTCTTTTACGGCTCGTGTGATATCATGGTGAAGCCGAGCTTCATCCTTTGGGAGATGCTTTTTCGAGCCTCGTCTTGTCATATACGTGCGCTGCCGGCAGTTGGCTCCTTTTCGTTGCTCGAAAAGCTCTGGTCCTGGCAAGAAGCTAAGTGGGGTCGAATGTCAAAGCCCAGCCTTTGTTCTTTCGCGCCATTATAGGGATGAGCAAGGAGAACATGTTCACATACGGGGATAAGTATTTTGAGTTCAAAGCGGTGACCTAAGCTGAATTGGTAGGGTCAACCCTTCACGGATAACATTGTTAGTGAATGCGGCTGGATTCCTCGCGCAAGACCCGCATTGAACAACGTACTGTGACTCTTCGCCTCAGCAAATTTGCGAGATTTGAGGCTTATTAAGGAAGGAAACAGTCTTCAAAGTCTAGCGCTTCCTCTGAGCCATGTGAAATATGCGTGAGAACGTCCTGATTGCACAATATTTGCATGACAATGGGCGGCAAACAGATTAACATCATCTCCAAATAGCTTCACTATTTCCTTTCAATAAGTAGTTATTACACTGTATACATGGGTTCTCCGACGTGGCAGTTGAGCAGAAGCGCGATAGAAAAGTCATCTTGGTACGAACCAAGGGGTCAGGATACGCGCGAGGAGGATTGACGACCACGAAACACCAGAAATTGAGCTGTGTCTTTGTATGTATTTTATTGCTGTCATGTAAATCGCTGAAATTTCTGTGAACACATCGCATAAGAGCTGCTCTTCAAGAAGGATTTGCAAGTTTTTCGTTTTCTCGCCTCGGGTTTCACCCATCAATCTCCACTTAGAATCTGATACCAAAGAGATAAGATCGCTGGTGGCCTTTAGGTCTACCCCGCATGATGCGCCCTTGCGTCAAGATAACGCAAGATCCAGGCCGTCAGTTTTCGTTTCCGTCTACCTGCCCATCAATTCAATCTTTGTCCAGATCGGCAAGCCATAGTCTGCCAATATAATCCTTGGGCACTTTGAATCTATGGTGTCCACTGTCGCCGGAGCAAATACCCATCCCTGTCGGGTCTACCATCCAGTTAATCCAACGCCGACAGTGAGAGTATCGCGGCCCCGCTAAAGGCATAAGATTCAGAGCTTTGGCCGCGTTCGCAAGGGCCACCTTTTGGCTTTTTTTAATGAGCAGTTCGTGGTTGTCGTGAAGTCGAGTAATTTTCTCTGCCCTATCCAGAATCCTGTGATATTCCTGATCCTCTACAGGAAGCAGAAGAAACGCCTCAACTTTTAGACAGTAGACAAAGTTATTAGAGCCGGAATGATCTTTGTCTTCTGTTTTAGCTATGTAGTCGCCAGTGTCCTTTAGGTAGACTCTGCTGATTTTGAGGTACGGGCGAACAGTGTCGCCATTGTTACCAGCGTGTACACTGGTATTATTTGTCCAAGACCACGCCTGATGTGTGTCAGCTTTTGCAGAGCATTTTTCCAAAGTATGGACATGCCTCAAACTCAGCCTGCAGCCGCTCGAATTTGCTGGCGAAGACTTCCACGGCTTTGTAATGTCTGATCCTATCGTTTTGCAAAAGTTTTTGCGACTGATTGTAAATCCCAACCTCAAACGATTCCTCTCGATCAATGCCCTCTCCGACTCCATAAAGATTATCAATCGCCGCAAAAAGATCGCTTTCTGCTTCTGTCATGTGTTCTTGAATACAGGAGCCCATTTCATGCCAGCAACAGTCGTTCTTCCGGTGGTCATCTATGCAGTCTCCGTAAGTGATCTCCAAGTGATATTGAAATATCGCATTGAGGATTTCGTTAGGTAAACGGGAGATATAGCACGGGCTTTCGTGCTGCGCAAGCTGGTGAACAACGTTGATAACCTGCTGATTTGCCCTGTACGCGTCTATCCTGGCAAAGAATTCGGTCGGATCGACTGGTAGAGCCCAGCCCTTGGTGTTGCCCGCCATTGTTGAGATGGGCAATGTGGTAGCACTTTCACGGTGAAGGGAAGGAAGAGGGCGACAGTGAGAACTTGAAATTTGAGGCGGCAAACTAAGCCAATTTGGTGGGGTCAACACTTCACGCACGGATGATGACAAATCGGCTACACCTTCCTAAGTGGGTTCATCAGTTTTACATTTGGTCTTCGGTGAGCATGCATGGACAAGTCACTCTGGTAGAGCGATAGGGCTATGTGAGAGCGAGTAGTCTATGGAACCAGAATGCACGTTGCTGGGTAAGCAGACTGGCGATATGGAAAAAGGTACAGTTCGTAAAAAAAGCAGGAAGTTCAACATCAGACAATCTGTGGCAGCTTCAGATTGGTAATGACAGCTGGATGGGGTTCAATGAAAGGCTTGCTGTACATCTCTTTTCCCATGAGTGCCCCCCAATCCTTCAATGGTCATGCAGCTTTCATCTCTCTGTCCTCAGGTCTTCGTATCATCGACGTCAAGTAAAGTCGAGGTGTTCCACAAGCATTGCTAACTTGTGCGGTACTTCGATGAATTAGCCATTGTGCAGCTTTGCGCCTGAAAATCCACATGACAATGCTTCAGTTTCGTCTTAGTCGCAACGCTATCTCCCCTTCCCATCCATCGATATCCTCGATTGAGCTCATCAAAGACTGACAAGCCATATTCGACCTCTAAGGCCATCGCTCAAGGTCCCACCTTCGCTTCCAGGAGGTGTGCCGCTTTCAGTGCGATCTCTTCCCATAGATTCAGGCTCTCCTTGCACTTGTTCTTCGGAAAATGTTTGCATGGCTTTCGGTGGTATCATTTTCAGTACCTGTGCAGCGCTAAGGAGGGTGTTTTTCTCGTGTTTCAACATGAGTAGATCATGATATTGGCAGAGACGCTTGTTCTTGTTAATTACTGTTCGTAGCCAGTGATACCTGTCATCGTCAAGCGGCAGCAGCAGATAAGCCTTGACATCAATCGAGTTGATAAAATCATCATAGTCATCCAAATTTTCATCGTCGGCTCGGGCCCAAGTGTCGTGATAATCTTTCAGGTAATTTCTACTGAACCGTAAAATGGGGCGGATGTTGCAGTCATTGATAGCTTGGAAAATATGATTTGCTGGCCAACGCCACAGCTTTGGACTATCAGACCTTCTGGTATGGTAGGAAATTGAATCACAACGCACCTTTAGCCTAGCCTGAAAATTCTTCAAAAGCGTTGCAGTTGTGCTTAACGCCGTATAGTGTCGCACTCTGTTGAGTTGACAAAGCCCTTCCCTTTGTTCACCAACATCACGCAGGAATTGAGTCTCTAAACCAGCCATGTCTCCATTATCGATGAGATTCTCGATGTCTAATAAAGCCAACTCTTCAGCACGATCCAGATGCTTTAGCCGACCCTCATGGATGCATTTGCGCTCGCAACAGTCGTTTACCTTACGCTGAGGTTCTATCAACTGACGGTAAGACTTCTGTACGAGCTCAAAGATGATGTTGTTCAAGATTTCATGTGGTAGCTTAGATATAATGCTTGTAGCACATCGTTCCAGGTCATGAAGCTCATCGATCGCTGGTCGGCTCACCTCATAAGCCTTGATCCTTGCAATGAATTCGGCAGGCTCAATTGCCAGTGCCCACCCTTTATTAAATTCGATCATCTTTCGTCTCAAGATGGCGAACGAGTGTTCGTGGAGAGACACGAGGTGATATGGATGAAAGAGAATATCTGGAAGCTGAAGGTGGCGACATAAGCTTGTTTGGTGGTGTTGACACTTCACGAATGGTGACGAGAGCTTTCCTTCACTAAGAACACACCCCATTCACTCAGATGACTTGCAGCACGCGAGTGTGCAAGAACATCAGGTCAGATATTCATCAGAGACAAACACCACACTCCCGCTGACGAGTCTGTAGGGCGTGTTGCGAGTCCCCTTCTCTCTAAGTTCGCAAGACTTTGCTATGCATGATCACGAACAGTCCCACTCATCTCGAAGACGAGAGCAGTCTCCATCGTTCAATTATACCTCGCTTCAGTCACTTAAGCTTCACCCTGATATCTCAGCATGCGCCTATCAGCCACGGACCTTCAGACTCCAGCCGTCCAGAGTCCTCACCCTTTACGTGGACACCTCATCATTGCCGAGCCTATTGATACAGACCCTTACGTCAAGAGTACGCTCACCGTCAAACAAAGCTTGCAACAAGCGAGCCGTCGCACCACTTTCTCACCAGATAAGATCAGGCATCTTTGACCCTAATAAAGGCGCAGCGGAGCACTTCCATCACTCCATCACCAACAAGAACCCTCATTCCTCTTCGACAGCCTTAATAGCCTCATGGCAACCTACACGCATCCATCCTCCCACAAACCCTCGAATCCTACTTCCTACCCTCCTGGTGCCACCGCTGCGTCTGTACCGGTATCCAGTGACCTTCAATACGCCTCTGGCTTCCTCGAAATCTCTTCACCTGCTACATACGTCCAAGGATGGGAAAAGAACGCGAAGAATACCTCAAACACATCGGATAAACAGGCTGTAATGAGAGTCGATCCCCAACGACAGGGATGTTCTGCTGGGCGAAGAATGTGCTGGCAGGTAAAGCTGTATGTGAGGCTAGACTCCACTGCCGGCGGCTATGAAGTACATCTACTGCAAAATTTTCACCGCAAAATTGAATCACACCATCGTCGGTATGGACGCATTCCACCCCACTCAGATATCGAACTCAATTCTTCGGAAGCTAGTGGAGGGGAAACATTGCCATCAATGACGAACGAGGAAAAAGAGCAAGGTTTACACAAAGGTAGGAGCTCATGTGGTTTTTGGACGTGCTTCTGAGGTTCTCTCATCCCCCCCTGTCCCCCAACATTTAGGACACCTTGCAACTGACCCTGGCCTCATATCCTAGATGTTACTTTCATCCTTTCATCACACAAGGCCACACCTCTTCACTCTGCTCACTTACCAGCCACGGTCTACCGACCAGCTCTTCCGGTATCTTGCGGACATTAAAGTTTGTCAAACTTCATCACCATCAAACCTCAACCACTGCCAGCAGCATACTCACAAATTCAAGATGGCACCAAATCTCCCAACTCGTAATCCACATACAGTAAGCCAATCATAGAGTCTGGGCAAGTAGAGGCTGATTATGATAGCATGGAGTCCGAGGCTCCCATAATTAATGATCTGCTGTCTGAACTGCAGCAAGAGAGACCGAGACAGAACAATCCACAACCGCTTACTCTACTGATGTAAGTAATAAGCTTCACAGGTGTCTCGAAGGCTGACTGAACGCGTATAGCCTCAAGAGGTGGCCTACGACCAACTAAAAGCCGACCACAAGGCCACATGGGAAGGCATGTGGGCGGCGAACGATGGTGAAGCCGTCGTTCCTCGCCCCCCTCGTGTGAATTCACAACAAATTATGGTAGACCCGGACGTCGAGGTGGTAGATACTAGCCGAATTCCCACCGTCAACCAAATCTCCACCACCAGCCGAATCCCCGTCCTCAACCAAATCCCCGTCCTCAACCAAATCCCCGTCCTCAACCAAATCCCCGTCCTCAACCAAATCCCCGTCCTCAACCAAATCCCCGTCCTCAACCAAATCCCCGTCCTCAACCAAATCCCCGTCCTCAACCAAATCCCCGTCCTCAACCAGATACCAATCCCCAAGTAAATCCTCCCCGCCGGCCAAATCCCTATGGCCAGTCGAATCCACAACACACACAGGTGAATAATCCATCAGACAATACGACAAGGCGTGGAGGTGTAGACTCAGAGGAACAATCCGCGATAGCGCAAAGTATTGCGCGCCAGCAGGCGAACTTTTATGCGCCGCGATATCCACCGGCGATACCGCATGTTGCAGCAAGTTACAATCCACCGGAGCAGCACGATCATCGGAGGCTCTTGCCGTTGCGACCAAGTAATGACAATCCTTACGGCATGGGTACTCAAATTCCTCAATCTACTACGACCAATCAAAATCAACAAGCACTCACGCGTACCAATCAGCCACTATAACGACGTCTTCATGGTATGACTGAGGCAGAGCTTGCGGCATTGTTATGATATGATGAGCATGCTGTATTGATTAACTAAGGAAATTACCTGGTCTACAGCTACTTAAGTATTACCCCACTCAGTGGTGATGGTAAACAGCCTAGTCAGGTTTGCCACTCAACAACACTTGCTTCCCCAAACGGGGCAATGGTTTCCCCTATACGATTGAGTGTCAATAGGCATATGCTGAGAAATGACTGGAGGACGGTGGGCGCGCAGTGAATGGTCTCATGTGTCTGACGTGTTTGGAGTGTCAGACTCCCGAAACCGCTCAAGGTCGCCACCCGTCACTTAAAGTCGTCAATTCCGTTGGCCATCCTCTTGTATTCTTCCATCGCTTTCTCATACTTCCAGAACATCTTCCATCCTTACTCACTTCCTCACTCTTCCAATTCTTGCCAATTCTTCCCTTCATTCTTCATTCTTACGCTATCCTCGTGACAAATCCCGAACATGACCCATTATTCCAGAGGCTGGGCCCTCCCATTCAACGTACCTGAATTTCTAGCGAGAACTAAAGCTTATCGGCAGAACCGGGACATGATCAACGCATTTTACGAAGTTTCCGAGCACACGACGATCGCATCTTTCTTCAAGGTACCACGAGAGGTCCTGGACAGAATCGTCGATGATGTTCTAGAGATGGAGTTTCGCTGTTTGATAGATCGAGAGCAAACACAAAACAATTGTGCTCTTCGCATATGTCTGAAGTCTTACGCCACAACGAATCACTTGACACCAGAAGAACTTGAGGAAGCATCAAGTCTTGATAAAGCACTTGCTAGCGTAGAGGCACGCAGTTCAAGTGCGGTTGAGATTCGGAAGCAGAGTAGTGAATTGGACCGTGTCGATCTCATGAGACACTATCTGGCGCAGCTCGAGATCCTGAAGGATTTAGGAGAAGTCCGGGACTCTCTCAAGGTATGCAGACCAAAACATGAACACATACGACTCTATCTATACTAATTATCGTCAAGACATGGAAGTGGGCCAAGAAGCACCATTCGACAGCTTTAGAGCTGTACAAAATCCGCCCCGCGCTCAAATTCTCCAAAGCCGTCCTCCCGACTCCGGATGTCTGTGAGCTGCAGAACAGGGGAATGCACTACGACGCGGAACTCTGGGTCTATTGAATCCACAGCATGGGATTCCTCTACATCCCCATCGACGAGCCAAAATACGAACAACTCCAAGCAACGCTTCGGCAAGACCCATCTCTTTGCTTAAACCACGAAGCTCTAATCCCCGAGGACCAGAAAGAGGCGCTGTGCAAGGCAGCTAGAATTCTGAAGCTGATGCCTGCCACAGCTCCTCAGGATGCGAATGTACGGCTATGCTGGAGATACAGCGTTGGGAATCCTGAGGGGCTGTGTGAGGAGATTCTGGACCGGGGTGATGGTACTACGTCGATTGTGCCGAAAATGGCGGAGAGGCTGGTGGGGAGGCCGTGGCTTGTAACAGGCGAGGCTAGGGACGTGTGGCCGTGGGTCATGCAGGGGTGGGAGTGAAATTATAGGGAGGAGGTTTGAGGCATATGGTGAGGGTTGGAGGAGAGAATTGCCGGAGGGTGGTCGAGAAGTATGGAGTGCAGCTTTGGTGGGTGGTCGGAATTACTCACATGGTTTTTTGGGATACTGCACTTGTATGAATCTAGCGCTTTTTCATCGTCGAGAAATGTTGGCATTGCCTTTATGCCCCGCCTCCATCAATCCACCCCCCACAAATTTTCTCCCTGTATTTTTTGAAGCAATGAGCTTAATAGTTGAATAGGATCAAGAGCACTCCGTATCATTCGGCTCGCAACTCTTGTTTAGTAACAACGGATTACACGCTGAGGATATGGGATCTGAATCAGTCGATATTGGTGACGACTCAGGCGGAGCATGTTATTAGCAATATTGGAATTGGTATGGATTTTTGCAAGCAACGAGGCCGTTCATTCCCTTAACTTCAATAATGAAAGCTCTCTCTACGATTACACCCGTCGGCATCTGTAACAGGTGATCTAGAGGGATCTTGACTGTCCTGTGTCTAAGGGTGGGCTCAGTGCCGTCGCATCCGAATGAACAAAGTGTTGTTGCGCTGGAGTTCCTCGTGACACCTCAACCTCCCATCAACATCGACAATTATTACCTTATCAACGATAGTCATTGCATTCACCAGCACCATTGACTGCGCATATCATAAATCATCGTTGCTGCTTATTTTCTGAAGTGTATCTAACTATCACGCCCACAATGTCTGTCGAACAATTCCCCTTCATGAGGCTCCCATTGGAGCTACGCCTAAAAATCTATCATAGCGTGGTCCAAGATCACGTCGAGAGCTTTCCAGTCTTTAGTGCAGCAATGGATGATGATACGCAGGTTGACTTCAGAGTCATCGAGCATTCAGCACAGTTGTTTCCCAATCTGCTCAGCGCGCACGAAATGTTCTTCGATGACTGCGCCGCTACCATCCTTTCGGGTTCTCGCATCCATTTTCCATCTCCACACATCATCGCCGAGCTCTCGATTGAACAGAGGCTCCTTATTAAGCACACGATGGTCCGCTTAGACGACAAACTTCCCGGACACTTTAAGACTGCCGCACCCTCCGATCTTCGCTACATTCAATATGACCCTTGCGCGAAGCCGATAGCAGACGATTTCAAGGACCTCAGAGGGCTGTTGCCAAACGCCGAAAGCATCCTTGTCGTATTCGACTACAAGTTCACAAACGCTTGGACTTGGGATCCCAATTTCGATCATGACAGACTTTACTATAAGCACTGGCAAGCGTGGTTTAAGTCTCTTGACAATGTCAGGACGCCACCTCGTTGGGGTACGGCAATTCCGGATGTCGTTGATTACACGATGAGGGACAACAGCATCGTCATTGAATTAGCTTTTGATCAACCGATTATTTCCTCTACATGAGATTGTGATGTAGAAATCGACATACCCGGGCAAATCTCCAAATGGCCATCTCCCTCAGCCTCGGTTGCTCGCTTGGATGGGCTTCACGAGGGTAGGCAATATGAGAATCTCAATCAACATTTCTATCATCTCGCGCTACATGCAGCTCTGGAAGTTTTCTCTAGCGTTTGAGATGCGCAATTTCCGAGGACAACAGTTCTGCAATCTCCTGACATCTTGAGGAAAACTGTCACAAAGGACAACACGCTCTTCTCAGACATCTCTTGCTATTGCTTCTCTTCCAATAACGGCCGTATTTCTTGGACGATCGTTCTCTTGTGGTAACGGCCCTCAACCTCAAAACTCTCGGTCATCACTAATGAACAGTCAGGATGTCTAGACATGTGCGTCATGTGCAAGACTTGGTACATCGATTTCTCTTGTTTGAACGGAGGTGGTGAACGTTGGAACAATTATGGTCCTGCGCCGGTGACGTATCAGGCGCTGGAGCGACCGTGCTTGAAGCATAAAAGCAAAGGCAGAGAGGGAATGAAATAAACTTAAAATGGAGTCAATAGCATTCTGTCGCGAGCGACTATGCTTTCTGTCATCATTCTAGAAGGATTAAAGAAGAAAGCAGCAAAAACGCAATTGTATCCAAAGTGCTATCATAGAGCTTAGCTTTATTTAACGCATATCGTAGCAATTTATAATCCACCAGAGCAGCACGCTACCCTAAGCCCTTTGCTATTGCAGCTATATAATAATATTCATTACGGTATAAGTAGAATAGCACTTTAAATTCCCTAATCTACTATAACTAATTAAAGTTAATAAGCACCTATACGTACTAATCAGCTACTACCACTATATCTTCGCGGCATTGCGAGTTCCCCCTAACCAACAATCCGCCACCAATCATTAACGTCGTACTCAATCGATTCAGCCACAATCAACACAGCTCTGTGAACAATGCAACGGGCAAAGCTCTGCGCCTTTTGACATGAGTATTACGGAATCCATGCGAAGACTTGCATTGGGGCAAAACGTATAGGAGTGAAGGCGACGATGAATCAATTTCATATGATCCAACTTCATATCTTATCATTCATGGAGCGATAGTCCCCATATCAACGGGACTTATGTATTCTAGCTTAGCTTTTGATAGAGCAAACAATGCTATTCCAAGCCTGTCACCAGGCTTCCACGTCGTCCCTGAAAACCGTAGAAGCATGTATGATCTACTTAGCTCTTCAAATTATGTTCAGAATTCCAAAATCATCCGAAAGCGTCTGTGGAGCTTTTGCAGGAATTTCCAAATTAGCTCCGCAATTTTTGAGGCGGAATGGCATCTTGCAAGACATTTGCGTTCAACTTTGTATTAAAGCTGGACTCAAGATTACATAATCACTAACAGTTCTAGGTCTATAAAAGCATACTTCAACATTGTAACTGTCAATTTTCACTAATGATTCACCCCCCCTCCCAAGAAGAACGAGTTGAAGCGATGATATGCGGATGCTAGTGCGATTGGGTGGATGGGCATCTCGGCGGATTCGATCGAACTTCGTATGAAGCCAAGGGCTCCATAGGCCAGCTACGGAATTCTTAGCGTATTGTGGCATTTGTTGACCAAAATCAAGAGGTCGTACCTTCTTGGGGCTAATGTCGAGGATTTCCCGAGCGCTCATGATGCGTGACTGGCCCGCTGGCCAGACGACACTAACGTAGACGATATGAGGATTGCTCTGATCAAGGTGCCAATTGGTGAGTGTAGGTGATTCGAAGGTATGAAGTAGATCGTCGGGGGGTGCACTGGATTATCTGCGCTCCTAATTGGCGCGTCAATGATGCCATCGTCTACAAGTTTGAGTTCGGCTAGATCATGTCAGCATGTAGTCGCGTAAGGTGCAAAAGGGTTGGAGACCTTTTCTTCTGGTCCAATGGGCTGTGTCTGTGAAAGCCGGATCGTGTATCGCTAGATCGGCCGAGTTGGCGAGTCGATTAACGCGACCGGATGCCGCTCTTGGACGTCGCTTGCCAGGGGATATCGCTGCTTCAAATCTTTTCAGGATGCCATCCCTATCGAAGGCGATGAGTTGATCAGAGCTCCCAGTTAAAACTTCAAGATGGGCCCCAGAAGTTGATTTGATACTTCTACTCTTTCTCACGCGTGGCTTCGCTTTGGATTTATCATGCGTATTACCCGTGAGTGGATTGCCTTCGGACGTAGTTCTCATCTCATCACTTGAAGATTGATCATATTGATCGTTTTGGTGATTGGTGCTGCTTGGAGCCTCGGTATGAGACGAGGATTTGATGGAGTTGGAAGCTTCTCCGTCGCACAAAGAGTCATCTTGGTCGACTGGTAGATTTTCGATGCCCAGTGGCTCGCTGCTGTGGATTCTAGTGCCGGACGACCCGCTGGCAGAAGACTCGCTGATAGTGCGGATCTGTGGATTGTCGCTCGCAATCCCATCTGTTACGTCTCTGATCGGACTTTGGTACTCCACCACACCAGAGTCGGATAGTATCAGCTGATTGCTGGCGGTCTTCCCAGACACACACCAATCACTAAAGCGCATTGGAGTTGCCCCCACTCCAAGCGCACCGCTCATCGTCCCTTTTTTCAGATTTTGGAGATTGCGAATCATTGTTCGCCTGCCTAGGCGACTTCTTGGGAAATGGTGGAGTGAATTACTATGATGAGCGGCGGTTTCGAGCTGCTCAACGTCGTTTCCCTCTTTTCGTGTCGATTTATCGTCATCAGATGAAGGTGGATTCAAGCCATATGAAGGTAATGCGGGCCCCCTGGCAAGATCGAACTCGCCACCGCGATCCTTCGAATAGGATGGCGGTGAATAGGATTCGGGGCCCGGTGTAGACTGAGATGTTCGAGGATTGGAGGCCCCTATGTTCTAGGCCAGACTACCGACAAGAGTAGCTGATTCGAGGGTGTTGTTTGCTGATTTGTCTTCCCGAGATTTTGTTCGCCTCGACTGCCTGGGTGAATGAGGCTTTGGTGATATGGGGCTTGAACGCCTGGATCTTTTCGCTCGTCTATGCAACACGAGATACATCGTTTCGCGTACGCTGAATGAAGCATACAGATGATTCAATGATTCTGGCGAGCGACGTTCCGTGCCGTGGCTGCTGGTGGTGATTGGCTCTCTAGAGGTCGCGAGAGCTTTCTTCTTCGCCTGAGGCTTGGCTTGAGGTGGTGAAAAGGGGGTTGTAGAGCCAGGGGGCAGATCTGGCTCTGAGGAACCTGCGATCATCAATACCTTCGTCTTTAATGGGATTGAGCTCCACTTACCCGTGCAAAAGGATGAGGAAGCCTTCGGCGCCTTTTCTGGCCCCTTCAGGCGCATCCCAGTTGGATGTTCGAGTTAACTTAGTCTATGTCAGGAAACGTGCAGGCACCTTCTGTATTGAGAAGCCCTAGCCCTAACCCTTAGTGACATGAATGGGTACGACACCTCCATCTCAAATCTCCAACTACAACATCAACACCATCAACACCATCAACACGACATGGGCACACACGGTGACCACCAGCCTCCATCAAAGAGACCTCGCCGAGAAAGCGCTCGCATGCAGAATGCCAATGCCATTCTGGCTCGAGATGAGGAGAATCCGCTGCAACCTTACATTCTCCATTTTGACGATATCGGTCTCCTCGATCCCCACAATCTTCACGACATAATCCTCGAGTTGAGCGAACCTTTCCAGCAATCCACAATCTGGCTTATCTTCTGTGAGAACGCGGGGTTCAAAAGCAAGATATCGGAAATCTACGCCCAGTGGCGGCCCGTGAGTCTCCGCCCAAATATTAAAACCATCGAGCTGAACAAGACTCCCCAGATCCGTGGCCTTACCATCGACGACATTGAGACTTGTAGAGACTCGACTTACAAGAACAATACCGTACACTACCGCTGGTATTTCATGCCCTCCCGACTCAATGGACGATGGTTGGCTGACATCAACGTAAAGGGGAGCCCATGCAATCTACAGCCGGGCCACCATGACGTACTTCAAGCTCATGCGAGAGGCCAAAGGCCGAGGCTTAATCTTCTTGAGCATGGAAGCTGCCAAAAAGGTCCTGGACTACATGTTAGCCTGTTGGTTCACCAATCAACACTCTCAAGGTATTCTATGCCCTGCGAACGTCCTTCCCGAATGGAGAACTGACTCCTGCAGATCCCTGGCAATTATTGCTAGGCTCTCGAAAGACCTTCCTGGAGATGTGGCAGGAATCAATCAAAATGATAGAGGAAGGGAATCTTCATGAGACATCAACTCTACAGGATTCTGGGACGATGGCACCGGAGGCTTCCGGCCGGGACTTAAAAAAGTCACCACTTGCCCCGGCAATCCACCTTCCTTTGGAGAAAGTTGAGCCCTCGAAAACCAATCAGCAACTCGATGACATAATCTCCTCACTGAAAATGGTACCAAGCAACGTCACACCAGCACTCAAAGACGTGTTTGGCTTGGATCACCTCAAGAAGACTCTTCTAGTGACTATTCAAACTATTCAAGGTCGTCAACGTCATCCACACTTATCCCCACCAAGAGGCTTAAATGGCTTTTTAATCTTCGGACCACCTGGGATTGGCAAGTCAGTCCTCATTGCCGCCCTAGCGAAAGAGGTCTCTTGGAGCTTCTATCAAATCAACTCTGGGAGCGACGCCCCAAAATTCGCGGGCAAGACAGAGAAGTTAGCATTCCCACTTGTATTATAGATATTGACTAACACATGGATCGAAGAGCTATTATTCATCTTTTCGATCGGGTAATCGAGGAAGACAACGCCATAATCTACTTCGAGGAATGCGAAACCCTGATCAAAATCAGGGATAGTCCCTCAAGTCAAAGCTACGAATCTGCCTCCCCTGCTCAAATTTTGGCTGGCTGGGATAAAGTAATCAACTCCGGCAAAAACATCATCATCATCGCGGCTTCCAATTATCCATGGCTGATTGACGCTGGAATGTTGCGACGCCTCCAGAGGCGCATCATGCTATCCCTGCCAGACGAGGCAGCGAGGATACAATTAATCCAGTACTTTCTTCGCCCTTACCCCAACAATCTCAAAGAGAAGCATATCAACAAGCTCGTTCCAATCACCAATGGTCGAAGCGGCCATGACATTCAGACCGCCATCGACATAGCCTACAGCACAGTCTACACCTACTACGAGGCTGATGCAAAGTGTTTCTCTCAAGTGAGTCGGACATCGGTTATTCCAGAGTATAAGCTAACATTGAATACAGATCAACGATAATGGCGAAGATATATGGGTTCCTTCGGCAGTTGGAACGTCAACCACTGTGTTCGAGCTAGATAATCAGCATAAAAAATCACGTCCTCAGGATCTTACCCTGAGAATCCTCGAACGTCAGTTCAAGTTACAAGGAAAGAGCTCGACTGAAGCTCAATCACAGAATCTTCAAGAGTGGAATGAGAAAATGGGCAACTCCATATCAGCATTTAATCCTTCGGAATTTTTTGAGTGAGTAGGAAGCGGTGGCTTCACGAATATACTTTATTTCCATTTTTTAGCTTAGATCAATCAACGTGAAATTTTGGCTGCATGAATCTCACTGTGATTTTCATTGTCGCCTTAGCCAATCTAGATACGCATTCGAGCCTAGATATAGTCATCAAGTCGATTGATCACTTTTACAGTTAAAAATGGACTCCCACCGAAAACCAGCGAAGATTCACTGCCTAGCCATCTGCTCGAGACCTTTAATTGGACCACACTTACTAAATAGCACATTGATTCACGTGATATATGTCAGCGTCAGTAAGCCGACAAGCCAGTCACGCATCATGAGTGCTCGGAAATCCACAATCATGTTCATTAGAGCTCCTCAGAAAAAGCCAGCGAGAGATGCACATGAAATGGAGAAGGGAAGAACACTACGTAGTGATGGGGCCATTTGACAAGCAAGGGGTAGATACATTGCTCATTCCTCGCACCCGGGGGTCGAAGCCAGATCCGGTGCCTTCTTTCAGCAGCAGGGCGAGGGACTTCTGCCCCCTGCAGCACAGGACACGTCCGGTCCAACCATGTAAGTTCAACCTCTCTTGACATCACGCCAGCGCAGTCACTAGGCCCAACACCCCGCCTCCACCAAGCAGTATCGCTCTCAGTATATTCCACCGCCCAAACTCCCCCAAAAGCCGTCTCACCTCCCCATCCTCATCCTTCGTAGTGTCCCGCCCAGCCTTCCCCTGCGGCCCACTCACATCCTTAAACTCAGCAGCCTGTCCCTTCCCGCCGAGTGCATCCAGCGCAGTATCCTTCTTCCCCACCCCCACCTCTTCACCTTCCCTCGAAGCCGTGCCCATTTCCGCGCTCTTCTCGCTCCTCTTGGCACCTCTCTCCTCGCCCATTCTTATCAGCTCCAAATTCGTCGGCAGCATGAGAGACGTCATTGGTCCGATACTCAGACAAAGTAAGGCCGCAGCGACGTTTCCCCCGACTGAGCCTCTGCTCATGCTCGCTCGCAGAAATTGTACCAAGCTTCGCTGTCCGGCTGGGAGGGGGAGGGAAAGGAAGGCGAGGCAGGCAAAGCCTGTGGAGGAGAGGAAAGCGGCGGTGGGGAAAATGTGGGAACCGCGGCTGAAGAGCCAGCGGATTTGAGGGAGGGAGCGTGAGGCGGGGAGGGATTGCAGGGAGGGATTCGAGAAGAGGGTTAGGGCTGCGATGCCGCCGGCGGAGAGGAGGGAGGTTGAGATGCTGATGGTCTGGAGGAGGGCGAGAGGGAGGGACATGGTGAATTAATAGTGGAGGGGTGAGAGTGTGCGCAGGGAGGTGGACATGACATTTGGTGGAGGAAATAAACGATCATGACGTATTGCCCTTAATTGCGGAATTTTGTCCGAGACCCGGGCATCGCATGTGTAGAACTCGAAAGTCCGACGGCAGCACGATAAAATCGATGTCTAAATTGTGATCAGGATATGGGATTATAGACAGTGATATGAGTTTCTTCAATTTAAATCTCAAATGAGGATAAAGAATTGCTCATCAGAATCTCATCCAGAGGGTTTCCCAGTCCCAAGTAACTCCGGTCATCAAGGCATCGATACGTCGCTAGTGTCCAAATTCCTGCCCCTAAATAGCATCATTACTGCTACCAAGTGAAGCCACAATGCTTATCAAAAAGTCGGGATAAACTTCTTAGAATCCTTCTCTTGCTGGTCAAAAGATTGATGGAATGCGGCGATTCCGGCAACAATTGAAATGACCATGAGCGTCAGTGATATGACCGACCAGATGACACCCCAGCATTGAGAAGAACCGCCGTATCTTTTCGCAAACACACTGGCATCAGAACTGTTGACCTTTCGCAGGATCAGATCGTCGCACTGCAAGACACAATGAGGTCAGCATTCAGCCTCTTCACGAGCCTACGGCTTCGAGGTGGCTCACAATATCCCAAACACTGTATAGCGCCGACATCACACCAATGAAAAGCTACTCGCGTCAGCCTTCCCCTTCTCGCAAAGGTATCAATTCTGTGCATGCTTACCACCAAAAATCTCAACGGCGTAGCATGATCAATAAACCAAAACGCCACCAACAGCCCCACGCTCAATCCAATCGTCACGATCGTCAACCAATCCTTCCGTGCCCACCACAGGGTCAGTAGAAAACACACGGCGAGCGCAATGCTCGCCACCTTACTCGCCACGATATCGAACCCGCAGAAAATCAACAGCGCACCGATGAGCGACGAGCCCAAGTATCCCGCGGGCAGTGTTATGGCGGAGATTCCGCCCCGCATGTGCGTCACGCCGCCCTCGTGCGGATCCAGCGAGATGGATTCCACGCGCCCGCCCGTGCAGCAGGACGTGATTGCGTGGGAGAATTCGTGGAAGGCTATTACGAGCATCTACATCCAGCACCGATTAGTACCCATTCATGCAACCACCCTGAAAATCACGAAATCAACGCGAAAAGAAGAGAGATCAAAAAGCAGCTCTTCACCGCCAGCGTATTGGAGGGCGGGAAAATGCAGGGATTGAGGAAGGGAAACGTACCTTGAAAGGCCACAACACCCATCGCACATACGGCAGATTCCACAGCAGCGCGATCACGACGATATAAGCGACTATCACGCCCAAGGTGGCTTTCTGCGTGCTGTTGACGTCCAGGCCGCGCCGATTTAGCTTTGGTTGCGTGATCTCGCGTCGCGCGTGGACGATGTTCATGGCAGCGGAGTTGAGTGCGTCTAAGCTGCGCGCAAAGACTTGAGACTCGGTTGGTGCCATGCTGGACTGGAGTTGGTGCTGTGGGTTGAGATGCGGAATGGAGTGGAGATGTCTTGAGGGGTGACAGATGTCAGGAGAAGGGAGGGCGGAGATTACGCGGCGGAATGCTGCGCCACGGTGGTCTAACCGTTTGCGGAGGGCTAAAAATAAATCACGCGAGTCTGGGCGCTTTGTGGCGCAGGGATGGAGGATTTAATTGGATACGAGGAATTTTTGCAGTTCTTTCTGTTTGTCGAGGGGATGGGGATGCTGACGGGCTTTTAACGAAGTCGGCGAAATCAAAGGAAGCGGATCTGTAGGCAAAAGTGAATTGGAATTTGTGCTGGAAGTGACGAGCATGTTGCCATCACGACCTCAGTGTCTTTAGACAGTCGAAAGCGAAAGAGCATACCCAGAGAATGTGGGAAAGTCTCACATGCTAAGGGCCTGGTCTTCTACCTGCGGATCGATTTGACATTGGAATAATTCGAAGGGTTTCTGCTTTCGATGCTCCGACAATGGCTCTTGTGGTGGCTGACTTTGTGGCCAGGTGGACATATCCATGACAAACGTATTGTTTCTGCGTAACTGTCTTGTGATTCCAGCTAAAGATCAAGAGCCGAGTTGAATGCTACTGCGTGTCGATGGTACTTAGCATTGGGCCAATGGTGGACCGAGTCTACGAGTGCAACGAGAACGCAAAGTCATTTTTTGGTTAGTCAGTTTCATCTGTCAATTTTGCTCGTCGATTTAGTGGGGAGGAGTGCACGTCCTTCTGGCGTTCGTTCAGGTGATGCGGGGTGCGTGAAGTGACGGAAATTGGGGTGGCAAATACCAGTACCCCACCATTTCAACTTGTACGACATTCCCTTCGTCTTTCTACAACCACCTTCTCACTTCACCCGCAACACCGCTTGCAGCCCTTAAATATGGCCCATCTCACTCGAGGCTGGGCTATTCCCATCGATGCGACAGAATTTGTGGCAAGGATCAAAGCTTATCACATCAATCGCCAGGTGATAGATTCTCTCTATGATGAAAAGAAACCATTGTTCTGCAAGCTATCCCGTGAACTCCTCGACAAAATAGTTCAGGATTTCCTGGAACTCGAATATCGCCGCTTGCTACCGCACTCCCAGAAATCGGGAAAGTGCTTTCAGAGCGCCTGTTACGCACATGAGGATGCGCACCTGAACCCCCGTTTGGGTACTTTACCACATCTGCCCTCTATCAAACAACGCTCATTCGAAAAGCTCCAATCAATATGGTATGATTGGCAGGACGGGCATGCGCCACATTTGGACCAGCGTTTCGCCGATGCACTCCATAAGCAGATGGAAACCATCTTTCAAGAGGACTTGGGGAGGCATCAAAAGATTTTGCAGAAATGTGCCAGGAATTTGGAGGCATTCCAAGAAGATCTGAAGGTGTGCCCATGTATTGTGCCATGCGTACAAGTGTACTGACTTTCCCGAAAAGACATGGCGCTGGGTACGAAGACACGACTGCCAGTCTTTTGAAACTTACAACATCCAGCCAGTCATCCAGCTACTCAGTTGCACCCCTGCTGAAGCTGATCCCCACTCAACCTACCCTGACGCTGACTTAACCTGTGTTGGCCGTTCCTGTCACAACCTTCACGTCTACGCCTTTCTTTTCATGCCTATAGAAGACGCTGAGTTCGATCGACTATCAAACTTACTACATAAAGACAACCAGCGAGATCGCCTATGGAGGAGCGATCGCCGGGTTGTGGATCTCTTGAGGAGCGATGATCGGCTGATCGCTTTACTAGCATTGGATGATCGTCTACAAGAGAACCATGATCTTCTGATGCCCACTGAACAGAAGACTGCCCTTCTCAAGGCAGCAAGAGTCCTCAATCTAACAACTTCCTCCCATCTGAAGCCTACATATCATCGTGGTTGGGGCAATTGGCTTGAATATCCGATAGATTCAGACGACCAGGGCGAGCAATACGATGGTGCTGCGGACGATCGTGGCCGGTGCTTCATTCCATGGTGTATCAAAGATTTTGATCGCAGACCATGGCTTGCCAACCTACGTTTACCAGCACCCCTACGCCCAGGAGGAGGAAGCAAAGAAGACGACAATCGCGTAGATGAGAGTTTGCTGGAATCTCTCGCAATCTAAGAATGCGAAACGTCTTAGCACAAAGCAATGATCGTGAAGGAGGCTGAAGAATAGAATTCTGCGCTTCGACATCCAGCAAGAACTTCAATTATTCAATCTAGATTCACGGATGCTGGCTACTAGCCCATGAAGCAACATTGTTCTCCTTGAAGGACATACATTGAGCGGTTTGGCATTAGTTCCCTCTTTTCATGCTAGACTTGCCATCCTCAAAACTTTTCTGGCATTGGAATTCCTCCGACTGTAAAAGTTCTCCATACAAACCCACACCCATCGAGCACCTCATTTTCCTTCCTCCCCAACACCCGACACAAACACTCAGCTCCATCAATTCATAGTCATCCACCGACTACTCTTTCCATTCTCTATCCAAGTCATCCCCAGACAGTCCTTTACTCCCAGACTTTCTTCTTCCCCAAATCCATTCTCCTTAATGATACCAATGCCCACGAGTCAGAAACCAGACCGCTGAACGTGAACATATAAATCCATTTACTTATCCTGTCTATCAAGATGATCATTCCGTACATCTGCGCACAAGACCAAGCTAACCTTCCATTCCGTCCTTAACATCTGCCCCCGTTTAAGAAAAAGGATTCGTTCCTCGAGTCAGCGCCATCTCAGAACCTATCGCTTAAATACCAAACCCATTTCCGAGACCTGTTTACGGCGATGGCAGCATCCTACGCACAGATCTTATCATAATCTCCGCTAACCAAAAATAAGAGCAAATTCCCATTCTCGATCTGTTCGTTCTCACGTCTTCCGAGGATGCGTTGATTTTGAGCCCACATCTTATCGTACTGATTAGACGCGCACCCTCCCTTGAGTTGATATTCTAGAGTAAGCGATGATGGAAGTAGTCATGGAGAATGTCTATGTAAATTGTTAGGATGTCGCTATGATTGTAATGGCAGCTTCTCCCTTTCGCACGGCCTACCAGTCATTACTGCTTCACACTGGCCTCCCCAATGTGGATGGTTGAGGTATGTTCGTCATGTTGGCATTTGCTACCCTTATCGGTGTTGGTACTAGTTGAAATGGTTGGCTAAGGGGATTGGACGTGGATTAAGGAGTGGGATTCTGGGATCACAATTTGGGCTAAAACCATTGTACTCCGGGAAACTGTACCACTTCGCGTGGATGAGACGCTGTTGATCTGGGGTAAGAAGATTCCAGACCCTTGAGCCCGCCTTGTCGTGGCTATATGTGTCGATTGAGGGTTTCTGACGTGGACCGTTTTGAACTTCGCTCGTTGGGATGAGGTAAGCTTAGCGGCCCCTTTCATCCGCTGATTTGCGTACGCCCTTTGAAATCGTTAGTTTTCGCAGTAGATGCTATCGCGTTTAACGTACCCATGTATTGCCCTGGACCTGCTTCATTGTCATCATATGGACGAGATGGTTGTAGATCATGGTGATTGTTTGCAAGATGTCTCAACTCTTGGTACTCTGACATGGACATACTCATCATGATGCCCTATGGATTGTTCAGCGCTGCCCACGTGTATTTTGAACGAATTACCTCGAAGAAGACGAATCTTCGGTCCTCGAAATTGTCTACCTGAAGCTTGGTGTCTCGGCGGATTGGCGTGAGCCCGGGAGGCGTAGGCTGGGCTAGAGCTTGCGCATAGGCCTGAAAGAGTCAGCTCATTCGCTTCTCATCATATAGAAGTACCTTCAGCTAACCTTTGGAGGATTCATGCCTGTGAGCTGGGATGATTGCTGATTGAGAACTGGTTGATATGGGGCTGGCCGAATTTGCTGATTTCCTCCAAGGTTAGTGGATTGAGGGTCGGTGGCTCCACGGTAACGCTGATTGTTCACGGCTCCGAGCAGATTGGGTACTTTTGGTGAATTGACCTGTCGAGGGTTCATGATTGTCGAGAAAGTTGTGGATGCTCTATTGACTCGTAGTGAGGGTTCGGAGTGATGTAGAAGTAAGGAAAATTTGACGCTTGAGAAGAGGTTTTTATAGTACAGCCGGTGGTCTAGATTCCTGTGTTCTGATTACCCGATTTGGAACAGAAATGTTACATTCACTACTTCAAAGACTGCTCTCAATTCTCCACGAAATGCTCACCAAGCCTGCCTTCACATCAATGACGACACAGAATCATCCGCTACCATCAATCCCGAATCAAAGCCAACGTCGCAATCTACTGAGGTGATGGACCCCAATCGAGCAGGCCACTGTGGGCGCAAAGCAAGGGACCATAAGTTCTGTCCTACTTCATATTTCTACATAACAAACTTACGCATGATAGAAGGATGATATGCTCAGACTCGATTTGAATTGCTAAATGCTATCTTGGTTCTTCCAACGAAGACTCAGCTGTCAATTGGCGTACTCCCTCCAAACCCACCATATTTCCAGCTTCGACCTTTTGTCACTGGAGCGCATGAGCCTTGGCGGGCGATAGATGATATCTCCCGTATGCTTGGATCATGCCGCAATCAATCCAGCTTGCTCTGTTCAGGTTTTGCGTCCATCATCAAACTCTCGCTGTCCCTCTCGATGGCTGGAGTGTGACCCAATGTCTGACTTGATGCCAAAGTCATGAGTCGCTGGCTGCTTGATGTGCCGCATGGCATAGGGACGCATTTCGATATCAGTCCCTTTTTTGAGCTGTATGCATGCTTTTTTGGCAGGTTCGAATGATGAGGTATGGTGAACTGCCTAAACTTCCATAGCTGAGAGCATAGTCTGTGGAGATATACGAATAGTGATGAACTATCTCAGTCGACAGTTGCAACAATGACAAACTTTCACGCCATAATTCAAATATTGAAAGCCGTAAGCCGCCCTTTTCTGTTGGTCGATCTTTCATACGGACGGACAATCCGTCTCTGATGAAAGAGATCAGGTGCATTCTCGTTTCTCCTGAATGCTTCTTTGGCAGCGTCGCTGACCGGCTGAGCCCCTTGTAGATTAGAGCGGGATTGTGCACAAACTTGCACTTTCCAAGCTCATAATCCCATCAGATTTTTCCTAGCAGCCAGCTCTCACAACTTGCGCCGATGTGCATTACTGTTGTTGCGAGATCGTGCTCGCATGGCTACGAGACTTTAGTAGTTGCTTGGAATAAAGCTGTACTATATTTGACTTACGTGTTCGAAGCACAAGTTGGTAATGAACTGACAATCCGCCTGTGGTCGGCCAGAATAACAGCACTTGTGAGAGGGCACAAGGCAAGGATCGTATTCTTGGCGGATTGGTTGGTAGAGACCTGTCCAGTCCCGTTTGTCACGCTGTTCACGGCTCGGCTGAGAAGCTGCTCAAGGCTGTAGGCTTTTAACAGAGCAGTGTGGTAAGAAGTCGCCCCCCGCCGTGTTTGGTCGAAGCGACAATCAACCGGTTGTCGGCCTGAATAACAGCACATGTGAGAGCGCACAAGGCTAGGATCGTATTCTTGGCGGACTGGTTGGTAGAGACCGGTCCAGTCCCATTCGCCACGCTGCTCACGGCTTGGCTGAGGAGCTGCTCGTTGTATTGGGTCGCCGGGATAAGACGGCAAGAGACTCGCCCAATAGTGTGCGAGAGTATGCTGCTCCTCGTGTCTCAGTAGCGGCCAGATCGAGCGTACTCCCTCTGACATGAGTGTGTTGATTGAGGGCTTCTGGAGTGACTTATGGTCTCCACTCCATGGAAGGTCGTCAGTGTTCTTCAGGGTGACGAGTTTGTTGTTCGTCCTTGAGAAGCGAGCAGTCTGCAGCCAATCTTTAGTCAAGTGGCGGAATACAAAGATCCAGAAGACTACCCAGTCGTTCTGGTTGTCCGTTTTATCTTCACCTAGCCTCTCTGGTAGATTCACGTACATAATGTCACCAGTGTTGGTGACCCGCCTTGACCACTGCTTGTAGATTTCGTGTGTCATTGGAACATACACACCCTAGTCTGTGAGTTCTCTGTCCGGCCGTATACTGAATGTAGTGTAGACATACCTGGACGAAGTATATACATATTTAGATATGACATTTCAGTCAAAATAGCAGAAGACTGATGTCTGTGCCAGAGGAGCAGGTTCAACCAGTTGTTGTTGATTGATTGCTACTCCACCATCAATGAGAGTATCGTCATCGGCGCAATGATTTATGTTGATGGCGACTCCACCACCTCTTGCATCATCTTCATATTGATTGATGAGAGACGACGAGGTGTTACTTGAGTATCCATAGTGGTGGATGAAATGATGGAAGGGATAAGTGACCCACTCAGTTGCGCCTTGTATGTATATATATATTTAGATGTGACAATTAAGTCGAGAGAGCGGAAGACTGATATCTGTCCGAGGTGACTAAGTATGCTGAAGAAAGTAGAAAAGAAAAGAAGAAGTCGAGGGGGAAGGCAGGCTTTATATGCCCGGCCACCTACGCTAGCACTGCTAACCTTTTCAAATTGTGTCACTCATCCATCCTAATGAATCGACCGATTGTCACAAATAGTGAGACACCTCATGTGAGAGAAGGATCAGTGTTGAGGAGAATGAATGAATCTATTTGTTGAAGCGGCCGAGACACGTTGTATGAGAAAACGGGTCTGAGACAATCCTTGTTGTATTCACCATGGGAAACGTATTTCGATTGTGAAAGATTTCACCGACACGTTCACACGCAAACGGTGGCGAAGCGATTCCCTCAGCACGTGACGATGTCTTGGACACGTGTCTGAGGCGATCGCGGATGAATGACTGATATTGAATCGCTCTTGGAGTCATCGTCATAAAATTTCATGAAGTGTGTGAAGCTTAGACAGGAGTAGGCGACGCGTCGATGTCAGCACGCAAAGAAAAGAAAAAGTGTAATCGTGGACGATGAAAGAGATTCGGGAAAGTGCATGCTGACAGACTGATGAATTGCAAACCAAACACACAGCCGGTGAGACAGCAGTCACATGCATAATAGTGTTTTGAAGCTGGAGAATGTGTCATTCCCTGAGAAATTCACCAAGTCGTGCCAATTCATTGAATGCGGAAACATGTCTGAAACTTTGAGAAGCTCACATTTCATAGCGACATTTAACCGAAATCACACTGTCTCATTGAAGGAAGATCACAGTAATCTTCACAGCTGCACATGTCAGACTCTGGATAACGATGAATGTACAAGGTGGCGGCGTTACTTTAGTTTGAGACATCCACTCCTTCGAACCGATGAGTGGCATCAGCTGTGCAACTATTGACGCAATATGCTTTGAACTCGATCAATATCGTCATTCATACTTGCATCATGGCATCCAAAGGTGAGAAACGGATGCAAGCCGCTGGCACACTGAATCCGGCGATCAAGGAACAAGATGGGTCGAATTTCACTCATTTGAGCCGGTCGCTGTGATACGTATCAGGCTATTGCAGCCTCACTGAAACTTTTCGAGGAGCGATACTAGTTACTTGGCTACCAGATCAGATGCTATTTTTGGAGCTGTGCGGCGAGTGTACTTGGTATAGCGGACTTGCAGGTAGTTTCTCCATTCGTTAACATTGATCCAAGGATTGGGAAACACCGGGGCTATTATGAAGGCCTCGAAAGTACTTTTCAGACCCGGAAGTCCAGAAATGCTTTCCCTTAGTTATCTCAAGCCATTTCATCAAGAAGAGAAACAATCGAATTGATTCGCTAGACTTTGAATGCGGGCGTATGTTCAGCCCTTTTGCGTTCTACCGTTGCACCAGGTGAAAAATTCCTGGTGACTCTGCAGGATTACAAGGAGTATCCAAAACGTGTGGCTAGGTACATGACATTAACATATTCTTTGAACCTCATCCTGGATGTAGCACATATTCCACCCACGGTACATCAATCTGGTTAAAACGCGCCAAATCCTCAAACACGCAAGCGCAACGCCGAAGCCTCGTTAAGTGGGCTGCGATATGGCGCGTCATCAACAAAGGCGCGAGTAGAGTCAGAGTGTGTTTCAACCGACTTGAAATGGGCAAGAGGCGATGGGACAGGTATATCTGGAGACGGTGGAAGTCATGTGGTGGAAGTGGCGGGGAAGAGACAGCGTTGTTGCAATGTACTTTCGATCGTAGGCAGCGAGAGTCAATTTGGGGAATGTCGGATTTCCAGTCAGATAGCACTCTTGTGACCTCCTGCTCTGGATCATTGATTAGGGGGTAACGACGTTGCGCCAAAGGTTTATTGAATTTTTTTTAAGTGATTCAGTATATCTAGGACATCAGCTTTACACCTTCTATACAGTCCGATGACCCTGCAATGAGCCAATGACTCTCCGTTAAAGCAAGGACCTAAGGCCTTCGACAGCTACACTTTCCACATCGCCAGGACCCGGCTCACTGGTCTAGATCACTCACAAGTACTAAATTTGACGAGTTCCCACCCAGCTATGCCCAGCCACAACGGCAATTCTTCATTCCTTTCGCAGAAATAACGTAGATTTCACGACGAGAATTACGCTGGGGCGAGATCTGGGGACTGGATACGAGCAGCATGGGACATGGTACAGCGAACGCTACGTCAAAGTAGATGACGGTGCACGAAAGCAAGGGCCATTTCTGGGTTGCTGTTGTGCTCGAGGCGCACTACGGTGGCAATTTCGAAATATGTCCTGCGCCCTAAGTCTACGGTTCTTTGCAGAGTTTCCCGCTCTCCATGTCATGCCTCATCGCAGCACCTGAACTTAAAATGTTCAAGTGGAAATAATCCAGCCAGATCATGAAAGAGACGAGGTAGGACAACGCCTCACAATACTCGTGGGGATCAGGTGCCCTAAGATGAAGGCGCCTTTCGACGTATACGTCATTTCATCTGCAGTGGGCTGCCCTGAGCTGCGATACATAAGACTCGATACATGTATGATTATCGGGCTCCCACAAGCCGGCTATATGAGCGGTGGACTACTATGGAAGAGAAAGGGTTACTAGCGAGAACCTCTACAAGTAGGAAATAGTGCAACAACAGACATTCATGCAGGAACCATTCAGTAATCACTTAAGACAGTTATGGATCTCATGAGGACAGATTATTGTGTGGTCTCTCCGAACCATAGACTCTGTGTACCATACCTCGTACGTCACACGCGGGTTGATGATGCTATGCGATCTATAGGTGCATTGATTAGTGAGGCAATAGCCTCTATTCCCAGCTCATCGACCATCTTGACCGTCGAATGCCTCGTCGTCGAAGCAAGACTGGCTGTCGGACGTCTTTCACCCGTTCGTTAATACATCAAGCTTGTGTATCCACCTTGCACCTTACGCGCCTGTGACGCCTTCTGGTGCTCCTTGTGAGATTGACCTCCTTGCTGTTGCTCTTCGGAGGTGGATGGGTTACTGACTTGTGCGTGAGAGGGATTTGTATGTTCAGCGATGGGGGAGGAGTCTGCAGCGGTAGCCTTTTTGTGGGTGATGGATTGTGGCTGTTGGGTTGCTTTGGTTGTACTATTGAACTTGTTCTCGACGCCGGTCCCCTGGGCTTGATGCTGGGGTAGATGGGGTTGGGATTTGGGAGAGGAACTTTCATTGTTAGAAGCCATTGGTGCTACTTGCGTGATGTGCTGAGCTCGTGATGTAATATGATCTGGAATGGTGATGGTGATGGTGATGGATTGATATTTGGGATGAAGATATAAACAATAAAGAAATAAGAAGGGGAGCATATGTTGAAGTACTAGGCTCTCAGGTAGCACATGGGTAGCTACGCGCTTAGCAAGTCATGTCTCACTTTGTAGTACTAGGCAAGGTGGTACAAGGTGGCAAACAAAGCAAAATTAAGTCTGACTGGCTGAGCTAGAGAGTGCCGCTACAAATCATCTGAATCCAACCTCCTCTTATTCTCAAGCCTATCATTCCACAAACGTCCCAACGGCAGCAAGAGCGTCATTTGACGCATGACGTTACACAAGCGACGCGAATGGCGAGATATTTTGGACATTGAGGAAAGCAGGTTTTGCTCCCATCAATGAGCAGCCGGTAGCGTGAACGATGGGGTTACGAATTGATCTTTTTGGCTAGCGCTCGAGATGTCAACATCACATCCTAGGTCCAATCAGTTCGCCCGATAGTAGACAAGTCAAGACAATCGCACGTCTTAATTGATGAAAGTATTCCGAGAATCTAGCCGCAAGAAAGATAAAGAATGCATAGACCGATAAAGTTTGACTCTGCACAAACCCGATGAGCAAATTTCTCATCAGAAGGTGTTCAATTCTCGAGTACGCATTACATCAAGAGGTGAATTCCATGAGCTCTGAGCTGTGTCTGTCTAGCTCTACGCCTTCGTTTCATCTCTGCCTATACCCTCTTTTCCCCCATGACACCTTCCACAAACAGCATCTCACAAACGCATAACACTTCCCTTCCCAGTCTCCTAACTTCCTCAACCTAGCACCGACTGCCGATGAAATCTGAAGATCGGCGTATGAAACATAACAGGCAGTTGTCGAGCTAGAAGATCGACCAGGCGATCAAGCAAGCTCTGGTAATGGCAGGATGAATTGAAGATGCCTTGTTCATAGTATCAATATTGAGGGTTCATATTGAACTCGGAATTCATGATCGAGGCGACTGTGAAACTGCTCAGCCTAAAATCGACTATTACTAGGCCAAGACTATCGATTTATACTCTTGGTGAGTTATGTGCTGCCGCTTGCCATGTAGTTGCTGGCTGGGTTGCTTGTCGCTTTGGTGGCAGATCCTCGACTAGTAGGCCACGAAGACTGCAAAGTAACGGTACTTACGTAGAAGGGAATGCCGCAGTGGGTCCAGAATCGCCTCAAGGAGTAGCATGACTCCCTATCTTTGTTCTTAGGTTATGTGTCTGATGTATGTGGACTGTACATATCCAACGCCCTGGCCACTGCAAATCGAAGGTACCCTTCCTCTATTCTATAGAAAAGCAACCGGATGTGCGCTTATTTGTAGGTTCGGAGTAAAAGACCGCTCATGGTTGGCGTACTAGCGACTTAATGGTAGTGAAGATGTAAGGTCTTGATGTGAGTTGTGATCCTCCCACTCAGAAGCCACGATCCGAACGAGCAGCCCAGCAGAAGTCGTTCTCTCGCGACTCGGCTTGCTTAACTGTCTGGCATCGCTGGTCACGTCTCTTAGGAGCCAGGTAGTGCTGACTTCTCACGAGGATCTTTTCAAGTAAGTATTCCTAGCTCGGCTGCCACCGGACCACGAACTGGCTGAATTGGATAGTTGGACAGACCTAGCATCTTTCTGTCTAATAATTACTTCGAACCTTTCGCCAAGCATGTCAGGGGTGTTGCGTACGATCATGACGGTAACGGCTAACAGCCCGCCCTACTCTCCCCAATGCCTCGAAATCAGCTTGAAATCTTGGCAAAATGACACCAAAATCGTGAAAAACTTCCTGGAAAGGTTTCGAAATTAGTTCAAGAATTTTGCACATCATTCACTTTGATATTCACTTTGACTTGCACTACTATTTATACATTTATATTCACTTGAATAAAAACGGCGCTAAGCTCGCGCTAGTAGTGTCATCCAAATCCCCCAATGCGTTCCTCCTTTCCCGCCTTTTATTTTCTTCTTCATCTTCACTACATCATCATACGCTTTTTCCTGAAATTGCATATCCTCATTTCAGTCCTCATGCCACCACAAAGACACTCTCACAATCCACAGCCACAAGGCAGTCGCCACGAGGAGCGGTGGCGACGTGGCGAGTCCCCCCCACCACTGAATCGACACCGCAACCCTGCACCACCGAATCAACACCGCGATTACAATATCGACACAGGGCCCATGAGATCAGGCCGACGCAGTGCAATCCGCACGGCAGACCCAGATGCCCCAGGTCAGCCGGTAAGTAAGACTCTCTGCGCCCATAGAGTCGATCCTTAACACGATAGCTAGGGAAACGTTCCGCCACCAGTACTGCCACCGCCAGTTACCGATCCTCCTCGAGACAATCTCCGACATGGTCCCTGGCTTCAGATCTTAGATCGTGCACACGCAATTGGGCCCCTGCCGACAATCTCCAACACGCTTGCTGAAGAGGACATCGAACCGCCTCACGCCTTCAGTCAGCCAGACACAGCAATCAACAGCCCTCGCCCTCCACCTCAAGTCTTTCCATCAACAAACCCCTCGCCCTCTCTACCTCCACAGAGCTTGCAATCTGCATCTCAACCCGAGCGCGCCGATCGAAATCCACACGCCCTCCAGGCCCCCGAAGCCCGGAGGGATCCCGAGTGGTGGCGCATCCACGACGAAGCAATTCACATCTTCGATACGCGGAGGGAGCATATCGTCGATCGTCACGATGAAGCCTTGCTCTCGCAATACGAGCAAATCAACGAGGCCCTGCCCCTCTTCCCCGAAAACAGACCGCACTGGACTGATCAAAATCGACAAGACGCAAGAGAGCATAATCAGGAAATGGTAGGCACGAAGGAGAAAGCGCAAGTCTACCATTGCCCCAGCATGCTGTTTTCCGGGCGGTGCAATCAGCAAGGATGCGTTTACATGCCTACATGTCCGAAGGACCGCGTGGTAAGCAAGCAAATATGACCCTTCCCTCATCGTATTTTTGCTATGGAAGGAAGCTTACGTACGCCTTTTTTGTAGGCTTGTCGCTGTGTGTGGGCGCATACGCCGCAATGGTGTGGGCTTTATGCCGACGGCGGATTTTGCCCAAGTGGGGACGGCTGTGAGTGGAAGGAGAGCCACAATATTGTGACGGTGGTCAAGATGAAGGAGTATCAGACGTATTATAATCAACAACAGTAGATTAATCGACTTGCTGCAGCGCCGAGCTGCGCTTCAAGAGTAGTTGGGAAGAAAGCATGCAATATCAACAACGGACCTTCTGACGGCAGCTCGAGCTGCGCCTCAGAATTTCAATTGATTCATGATCGCTGGTACGACTTTGCTGATTCATACCTTCGCATTATGGTTGCTTACTACCAGGCGTATCGTCCGTCCAAAGTCTGGCTAAGAATTGCGTGCATCTTGTGAGAAATCTTTGGCAGAGTTCCGTAATAGAATCGATGTGAGCAATACGTTCTGAGGTTGGCAGCAAAACCTTGACACATTGTCTGTCATTTGCGCAATTTGCCACTGCAGTGTCAACACTCCTCCACCAGCCTCCTGCTTATGGCAAACGCGGGGTATTTGATTTAAATCTTCCACTTTCCAATTGCGAATTGATTATTCTAACACCAAACCATACCATTTTCACAATTCCCTACCAGGTCAATTACATGATGTCTTACAGACAATCAGCTCGATATCATCCTTACACCAATCGGCGCTCTGACAATCAACAGCCAGACCCGAATCCCCACGAAGAAAGCGTGAAGGATGAAGTGGAGAGATTTGTCAAATCGGAGGCGCCACCTCCAGAGAATCCTCCATTACAGCTCGTTCCTGCACAAGGTCCTCGCTCGAGTGATAATCAACTGCAGCTGTGCTTTCTTCAGGTAAGCCCCGCCTTTTCCAACCAACGCGCCAGTCGCTGAACAGTCAGGGCATCGCAATCTACCTCCGCCGGGGCGACATCGATCGATGGCGGTATCTAGTCGAAACCAAGTACCTATTCGACCCAATCCAGAAAGCGCAAATCTTCAGCAATCAACAAATCTCCCGTCAAGACAACTGGGTACTTTTCCCCCCCCCCCTTCACCTCCCCCCTTTCCCCCCTTTCAACCCCACTCTAACAACTCCTCTCTAGACCGTCCGCTTCCTCACCCCCTCCAAATCCATCGCCTCCCTAGTCAGCATCCACGACCCCCTCTACCGCAACGACGGCAAACCGCTACAACGCCCCTCGATCAACACGCTCGGGCAGCCCGGGCTCTCAATTCTCTGGCCACTGCTCACGCAGCACGAACAGCGTGCTCTGGCCGCCTACTGGAATGCTCTGCCTCCCTTTAATCGAGCCATTCCGAATCCACATCCTAAAGACGCGAGCAAGAGGGCGAAACCACGCCTCATCTCCGAGGATGCGAGGGGAGGCAAGAAATGGGACTGGTCCGGTCTCTACCAACCCATTCGACCAGAATTTTGCCCCTGTTTTGTGAGGGCGCATGGGTGTCGGTACACGGGCAGGGCGCCGGCGCAGTGTGGGTGCAGCCAAAATCTGTGTTACCAACACGTGAGTGCCAACCCCCCTCCCCCCCTCCCCCTACTGGTACATGGATGGATGCTCACATTGAATGCCACACAACAGCCCTGCGAACACGACGTCAACACGACAGTAATCCACATCGGCGCCTGCTGCGACAAAGCGCTCCTGCGGCAGCGGTGCCAGAACTACGAGAATGGGCATTGCACATTCCAGCATAATCCCGCACTAATCTACAAAGGGCTCGAGCACGATTGTTTCCATCATCGGCATTATAGGGCTGAGACGCAGCGCAAGGGAGGGGAGGGGGAGGAATCTACAATTGGTGTGCCAGCGACGTGTGCGGGGGACACGCCGGCGGAGGAGGTGAGGGGGTTTTTGAGGCGGTTGGCTTTGGGGTGAGAGAGGAGAGAGAGGGGGTAAAGGGGGAGGAGGGGAGGGGGAAGTGGCGGGTTAATCTACAGGAGGAGCATTTGAATTAGGAGGGGTTTTTGTGAAGGATGATAACGGTGAAGAGTCGAGTATGAGAAGAGGGGCAGAAAGCTGAAACGAAAGGTCGCTGTGTGGAGAATCTGGGAAGGCGACTAGATAAGCAGGGTAAATCCCCGCGTGCTCAGAGGTTGACAATATACCATGAGAGAACAACGTGTCGAGATACTCCTCTGGTATCCCTTTCTCCGTCTGAAGGAACTGCATTCTTGCTTGTTGCTAGATAGGTTCTCGCTTCTTCTTCGAGTACAATGTTCATCGTAGAAATCCTGTCGATCTCGAGGTACGATAAGAGAGAAGCGGGTTACAAAATAGATTATATAAAGTGAATAAATTGCAGCTTCATTGCCTAGCCATTTCAAATAAGTACGGACACGTTGCGGCGATATTTTGGCAAAGTTGCTGAGGAGTTGTTGGCAGATTGTCTTACTATAAAGCCAAGTCTTTCCTATCTACACCGTTTCGCTTCTCTCTTCTGATGCTTCTCTCGCTCAACTCATGGGTTATGCCTACTCATAGCCTTCCCATACGTCTGGCCTAGCAATAATTCTTCTAAAAAGCTAAGCTTATCTACGCTCGTTCCTCGTGGAGAATTTGGCGGTATGAGACAAGCTATAAGTGGTCTAGTCCTTGGTCGTGGATTATGTTACGGAGTTGGTTGCTGGACTTGAGGGTAGAGGGTTAGTCGTAGGTATGGTGCTTGACACTGTGTCTAGACTTGGTGGTGTTGTAGGGTATCCCTTCGTCTGGTAGGGCCCTTATTTCAGGGGTATTACCCGTTTTTCAAGAAATAAAGGAATTTAGTAGCTAAACTTTAACTAAATTAATTAAAACTTTTAATATATATTAAATATAACTTAAAAAATAAAATTTAATTTTTATAATTTATTATAAATATTTAAATTAATTATTAATAATTTTAAATTTTAGACTTTTTAAAAACTAAAAATAATTTTTTAAAATTTTAATAAAATAAGAAATAATTAATCAACTATATTAAAACTTTTTTATAAAAATTTTATAATATTAAAATTTATAAAAAAAAGTTTTATAAATTTTAAATAAAAATTAAATATTTTAATAAGCTTTTTTTCTTAGAAACTAATTTTTAAGAAATTATAAAAAAAAATTTAATATTTTTAATATTTTTTTTTAAAAAGTTGAAAATATTTTCTTTAAATAAATGTTTTTATAAATATAAAGTTTTTTTTATAAAAAGATTATTTTTAATAAAACTATTAATATATTATTTATTTTTAAAATTTTATTTTAAAATTTTAAAATAAATTAAAATAATTAATAAAAATATTATACAAAATTTATATATTACTATTTAATTACTTTACTTTAAATATATAAAGAGTTTAGTAGAAGGGAATTAAGTTTATATATTAATAATTATTTTATAAAAAAAACTTTTAATTCTAAATTTTTTAAACTTTTAATATTTTTCTTAAATTCTTAAAAAATATTATAAAATTTATATAATTATACTTTTATATATATAAAATTTATATATATTTAATTTTATAATAATAAATATATTATTCGTTAAGTTATAGTAAAATTTGTATAGGGGGTTAAGATTTCGGATTTAAGGGTCTTACCAGACGAAGGGATAAGGCGTATAATCGGACATATCTTGATTGTAAGAACGCTGGGTTTAAGAGAGCATATCGATTGGTTGAAAGTTCATTAGACGGTTCTGAATCCTCCAGCAAAGGCTCGGTGTCTTCGCTTTCGATGTTTCGCGCTCCTGACGTTCGTCTGTCTTGTGGGAGGTCACGAGTGGGACGGGAGCCGGTTCTGGCGGAATATTTGTACTAAGAGCGTTCGCAGTTTCGGACCTGAGTACGTGGTCTGGGGAGATTTACTGATGATTTTAAGGGATCTCTCTGCCAATATGACGGGGACACGGACGTCATCCATATTGGTGGACAGTGCGAGATGTGGATGTTGGGGGTTGGGGAAAGTATACGGGAACGATGCTCGCAAGTTTGGTCACAATCCTGCCTTGATTCATATGTCTTATCATCATGGTTGGTGCCATCCTATCGCCATAGGAAGAAATAGACAAAGGGGTCTTAATTCCACGACGAATCGGGGTCCGGATGGATGGTCACGAAAGATACGTTGTGCGCGGTGCCACGTAGCACTTAATGGACTTTGATTTTCTCTTTTTCAATTGCCGAGTCTTCAGCGCGCTCATAGCTAGCGACCTGGCTAGAGAGATTGACTATCGATCGAATAACGTTGGTGCAGAGAAAGTGCAGTAATGCCAAGTTGAGTCCTACTCCTGGGGGCTCATGTCGCCTGCAGGACTTGTTCCTGCTGCTTGGTAAAGTCTCGCCTGCATTTTCCAGCTTCCACCACGTAGGATTTCTCAACTCTCGCCAGAAAGGGGACAGCATGCTAAGTTCCCTAAACAATGCGGTGAAGAGGACTGGGAACGGGGGAAAGATGGGAAGGGAGTTAAGCGAATAGCTCAGGTACTCGAGAATACTTATAGTGCTTTTCGATTTCTTTCTAGGCATTTATACGCTATATGTCTCCTCTCTCTCTTGGTCAGTCAAGGAGTCTAGCAATTTTTTGTTGGAAGCGATGATAGAAGATGCGCAAGTACATAATATTGCCTCTCACATTGCTATGGACGCTGCGTTCGTGCCTGCTACTTTAAATGAAATAGTATAAGGTGATTGGAGGTCTAAAAGTACATTAAAACCCTCTTTTCCTTCTCCACCGCATCTGAATGGAGATTATCTAACACTAGGATAATACGCCTAGTACTCCCTTATCCTTGCTACTATCATAGTGTTGTGACTATGTAGATCAATACACCCGTCCCCAGCAGGACAAGAGCTACACTGCGCGTATAGCGCACATGCGTTACCTGTGTAGGGCTTTGCACATCTGCATACCTACACAATCAGCTTATTAGCCCTAATACCACACACACATTCAAAGATTGGACAACGTACGTATCGATTCCCTGCACCAATATGCAGATACTCACCCTCCACCTAGCCCCCATCTCGTTGCACATCCCCTATAGCAAAGAGCACGGGCATGCCAACACTCCGCTTTCTCCACCGTGTTCATGAATTGTAGATTATGCTTGCGAGAGCTCCGCTGGTGGCTTGTTGGATGTGTGTGTAGAGCCTCACTGGTTTGGAGGTTACGAGAGCTGTCAGTATTTTGACGAAGGGGCTCGTCATCCATTTCCCCCGCGTATCCTTCCTGCAGCGCTCTTTCTCTTATAATGTCGTTGGTTAAATGCCTGTTGCAGAGTGACGCTGTATCTTACGCTTAGCCATGCTATACTTTCTTTTGAAAGCGATGCCCCTCGTCCAGCTTCCTTTTCTGTAGAAATCGGTGCCACCGACAAGAGGCGCCGTACGAGATCTATGCCGAGCAGGATCGATATACTGTTTTCCTTATTCTCTCTTCACGCTGAACTTGCACAGCTTCAGTATCTTGCAATGTAGCTACTGCAGGTGGATCAACCTCAGCGGCAAATATCTTCACTGTCGCTTTATCTCCAATGACTGCCGCCCGAATCCATCCAAATGTGGGATTTTCATCGAGTATATGTGAAGGATATCGACTTTCTCTTCAAGTACAGATTGTCTGACGTTATTGTGCCATTTTCCAATGAAATTAAAAGGAGGAGATTATCAGGGATGGTAGATAACATATTTGCTAAAGTTAGGGAGGGGCTCAGCGAAGCATTAGATCCTATCCTCTTATTTTCCTCCAATCTTTCCCTTAGTGCATTACGAAGTCAATTCTCCTTGATCGATACCCTTGGCTGCATACTAACTCTATGTAGATCATTGACAATGTCTTTCGACGGTCATACTGGACCGCAATTCGCTGTATCCGATCGACTTAATGAAAGCGGTGAAAGGACTTCGGAGACGACACAGCAAGTCGATATCCATAGTCTCTCGCGATCGGCACGCACAGATACACCTGCGCAGTCGCCAACTCCGACGCAGCAGTCAGAGCATTTTGATTATATCCACCGCTTCCAAAAAGTAAGTCTCAGCGTACCTCCAATAGCAGTGCTAACAAGATGAGTAGCCTCAACAGGAGGTAGACACTCCCACAGCCTTTTCAACTCGGAAAGCTCAACAAGGCGGGAGATTCCCGGCGAACGCGAGACCGAAATGCCCAAATGCTGATACAACCATCCGCCATGCCAATAACACAGGTAGCGCGGGTCGTCAGCCCACCACATCTGCGCAGTGGCCAGCGAGAACTTCAATGTCAGAGTCGCCCCAACATCCTTTCAATCAGCGACATACGGACGAAAGCCCTTCCCTACTTACTCGTGATGATATCGTATCGGATGTACACCCTTGCAATCCTCCAAAAACACTAGAGCAGTCATATTATTGGCGAGACCTATATTTCGAGGGGACCCAGCTCTTCGAAACCCGCGTAGAATCTCTCCTCAAACCTGGTGATCGGGAAAGATTACGCACATTTGACCAAGCTCCAAATCCTCCCCCTATGATGGATGAACACAGGGCAGACGCGAGTGAGGATGAAGCAGAGCGCATTCGCGAACATAACTTGCGATGGGCATATACCTACGAGCAATCAGAGAGATACCACTGCCCAGGCAGTCTCCTCATGGGTGTATGCAATCTTCGTGGCTGTAGCTACGTGCACACTTGTCCGAAGAATCGCTTTGTACGTGCATTTTCCTCCTTTGGTATTTATCACGAGCAAATGAAGCTGACATATAGTGGGCGGCGGACCAGATTTGCAGATGCTTGAAACCACATACAGGCAAAAGCTGCTTCAGTTTCGCAACCCCTGGTAGATGTACTGAGGAAGCAGGGGGCCTCCCTGCCACTATCGGCACAGCCACAATATCATGATACTTCTGAAGATGAGGGAGTTCGGAGCCTACTATTGGGGCCGAGTATAGGAAATGATATTTTTTCCTGTGTTTGGGCTGTAGTTCGAAGTCCTGACAAGCTATCTGAGCGTGTGAGTTGAAATGAGGGCGAACAGCGCCGGAAAAGTAGTATTGCAGAAAATTGAATGAATGTTGCTCTGGCTGATGTTGAGGCCTGCCAGGGTTTCGAGTCCCCAAATGGCTCCGATCTCATTACCTCCGTTTCGCCAGTTTCACCATTATCACAGTTGAGGTCTAAACGAATTTGATAATAGAGCTGCATTTGAATGTCCGAGCTGTGAGAAATAAAAGTCCTTCCTTTTGCTCGGATAGTACGTATGCTCTATGAAAGCTATTTCAGAAAATTCGTACGCAAGCTTGACATTGACCGCACTGTATCGCTCATGATATCATCGGCGTCATCTTTTTCTCTCCGACATCTGTGACGATATGGGTGAAGCCACATTGCATCCAGCAAGAGACTATCTCAGCCCTGGAGATATTGTCGAGTCTCGTTGAGTCTTTAAGGCGGACAGCATCGCTACAGGAAATGGATCCCCAGCATTAACTCTTGCTAGTCTAGACTTGAGCTACTATGAACACCTGAAGTATGACATATAGCTTCGCGAGGCATTGACCATGGATGAAACTTTTACTCCCACTTTTATAGATCTCGATCGGGGGATATGATATTGTACGTTCATGGAACAAAATCGCCATGCCCTTCGGTGTAGGCAAATTGCTATTCAGCCTAAACAGCATCACTGTGTCTTCGCATGTGCTGAGAGAGGTACACTTATGCATAGCTGTTCCTAGCGCGGCCGTTGGCAATGTAAAGGACTTCGGAGTGAGCGAGCAGTGGACCCAGAACTCGAGTTGGTAATGCTGTGGCATCCCCGCGCCGCGCCCATTGTCTTTGTCAGGACGGGTACATCCTGGGTAGAAGCTTTCGGCTTGTACATACTTGGATCAAGGTGCTGCGATGAGGCACGATGCGGAGAGCGGGAAAGTTTGCAAAGAATCGTGGACTTGGAACGTGGGGTGTGTTTTGAAATTGCTGCCTCGAGCCCAAAAGTAACTCGCAAATGGCCCTTGGTATGGTGCGGACGAAGATTACGTGTATCACAGCTCAGGGCAGGTGACTGCGGGTGAAATGATGCATACATCAGAACGCGAGTTCAGCTTAGCGCACCTGATCGCTCGTGTCGTGGATATAGCCTTGTACGGTTGTGTGCTCCCCGGTCTCTTTTGTTATTTGGCTGGCCTATTTCCACGCTTGTCTTGTGCCTTGTCTCCTCCACCTTCTTCCACAACACAAGCTGTGAGTCAAGAACTCCTATCCGCTGCTCTGTCCCACATTCTTACGATGTATCCTCTCTTGACCTGTCATGCTTCATTGTGGCGGCCAGGTGTCCACATCGTCCACAGCAGGAAGTGGTGGAGAGGCAGCGGTGGTACGGTTGGTCAGCTTTAGAGGGTCCTGAGCGCTTGTGAGAATCTTCATGGTCTTTGAAGTCCCCAGCGGTCACGTCTATCTGCAAGCTCTTCTCCCACGTGCCCTCGAATGTGGACTCGACTGGTCGAAGGGGGTAGGAAGTCACCGCAGAGGTGTGCTAGTCGTTAGGACCCGAGCAACCTTTGAGGTCTCGGCCTCCAGGACGAGCGCAAAAGAGCAGTGTGTGACCGCGTGAGCATCCAAAGACAACGCTCAACCCGAGAAACGGTCGTGACCTTGGTTGTCCTGAGCTCCTTCTATCATGCATCTCTTACGGTAGCGCTTTGACTCACCCTCCTCCTCAATTGTAGCCGAAGAGTCTCTTCTTTCTTTTCTTCTGAGCATTTCTTTTCCTGCTTCGGAGTTCGGAACGCGCAGCGCGCAGCATTGCTCTTTTCCCTCGCCTTTTCGATGCGCGTACCTCATCTTCCTCTATCAGTATGACAGCCACCACTACAAGTAGGGCTAATATCACCGTCGTAAGTATGACAATGACCTCATCCTCGTCCAGGTCGTCGACCAGATCGTCCAGGTCATCCATGTTGTTTCGTGGCTGGGATTGAAGTCTCCCGGTACGCGTTATTGTCGCGTACCTTTTTTCGGCTCAAAGATTTTCCGAGGCCGCAGGCCGCAACTCGACAACGTTGTTGCCAGTCTTCTATTATCATCCACCCTAGCAGCTTCCGAACGACTGCCATGCGAATGTACTAGTAAAACATCGTATCACTGAGCAGCATCCATCACCTGTCGGAGCGTAGAGCCGGCAAATACAGATGAGCTTGGACACAAAGGAAGATGCAAAGCATGGCAAGAGCATGGGAATTACACTGTACACGAGGGGCATCAAGGCCGAGATACAACACATGTCCAATCTCTCGAAGTTCATAGCATGTCTATAACGCTATTTCCACCCTCTTGTGTCCTTTGCTCAACAACTGCCTCTGCGAGTATGCTCCATCCTCCTCTTCCGAAAATTGCGGTCTGTTGTTTCGCTTTCAATTCTCAACGGTCTGCCTTCGCCGGTATCCGATACTGTGGATGACTCTGTGTCGATGAACGAATGCAGGAGCATGATGATCACCACAAGTGAAGCCTGTCAAAGCGGTCTCTGTCGCTATCTGTCCTCTACTGGTCAAGCTACCTGCGTCTCCGCGAGCTCTTAGTCCAGAGTCACAAGTAGACACTAGCAAAGCCCAATCATCATGCGGTGCACTGATCTAGAGTTATGAGCATATACATCAGGTAATAGGTGCAATGGCTAGGCGTCCAGTGGTGGTGGACATTCAACCAGCGACTCAGGCAGGTCGAGTTTCGAAAAGACAGTGGGACAAATATCATGCGCCAGGATGTTTCGTACCGGTTTTCCTAGGGGAGATAGTACGCGTCAGAGTATATACCCTAGATTACAACGGACATCAGCACAGGGTTGCGGGGGTCTATTGTCATTGGAGCATTATACAACAAATCTGACACCAGAGCAAGAGGCCCGCAGAGAAGACCATGAGCGCAAGAAAAATCTCAGACGGAGACAAGCTCTGATCATGAAAACCCGAGACTCTTGAGAAGTTAGAAACCTATGATGGAACATGTCATGTTCGACGCCCTCGTTGGTTCTTTGGTAGCTAATTTGGATCGTATCCGTACAAAGAAGACTTTCTAGAATCGATGCCGACCTTCGCATATCCAAGTCTTTCATACTCCCTGCACTAGATCTATAGTGATGCCATTCTGTCGGATAGTAAACTAGCAGCTAGTAGCACTCGTCATCTACTCCCTCCATTGCGTGGAAAGAGTCAGCCGAGCAGCTCTGATTGTCACAGTCCCCCCCACCCCCCCTACTTTTTCCCTAAGATCACTGGATTTGAGCCGTTCCGGTTACAAAATCCAACCTCTCCACAAAACCGAGAGAAATGCCGATCAGCCCCTTCTATACCTCAATGAGAGGTATGGTGGACGAAACCAGCACCGCCCAAGAGATCGATATGGGCTGACATCCCTAGTAGAAACACGGTCAAGGGGCCACCACACCGCTCAGGAGATCGATCTGGGCGGTCCACACATCTCTAAAGGACTGCCGTTCGCTTTGGCGCGTGATGCTGCAGGTCGTGACCTTCATGAGCCAGCTGGGCTCCTCCTCCTTCCTAAAATACTTCATATGAATGCCCGAAGTCGGGCTCCTCTGTGTGATTGAATACAACTCGTTGCTGATGGTAAGGAGTTTCCGGCCCTCCATAGCTCGCCTCCCTTGGTGAGAGCAGCAGTTACGTTTGCTAGGCTCGTAGTTAGATACTCGTTGAAGTAATCCTGGAATGAAGCAAAGTAATCGTCTCCGTCTTCTTCGCAAACTCGAATATACTCTTTATCCTCTTCCGCCGGCAATAGACTTGTCTTGGTCCACCAGTAGTCTTTGTCCGATACAATGCGCTTATCCTCGAATACAGGGTTGGCCCCTACAGTGCTAAGTTTTCGTGAGATTGCCTCTACTATTGCTTTAGAAATTCCGACATAATAGCTGGCTTTCCCGTAGTATTCGAATACGCTATGGTGGATTACTACGTCTGGAATGGTCACACTATTCGCCCTCGACGCCCAGGACCACCGTGAGGCGCGTGTGCCATTCGAAGACTGACTGGGATGGGCGGCGTGAGAGTCCTGTAACGGAGGGCGATCGACCTTCTCTGAATTTTCTTTGGCCAGAAGCCTGCTGTGTAAATGTTGGGGATGTGGACGAGACGCGGTGCCAGAGCGATCAGGATGTTTGAGAGTTGGGAAGGGGGAATGTTTGTAGTCTTGTATCAAACAGACTAATACCGTTGGAGAAATGGGCTCTCCTGTCCACATGTTCAAATTGCCGATTGCACGTCTGTAGCTTTCGATCGAAGAGATATCTTCCGGGCGTTGTGCTGGACTTCTACACCAGTCACACTGGCAGCCGATGTGTCTAGTGTTTCGTAACTCTCAGGCGAAGCCTCGGGGAATGACTTCTTGGTCGTATAAGGCGCGTGTCAAATCTTCGCTCGCCTCAGTCTGACGATGAATACCTTCCAGGTCTCTCTGGATCTGGACTTGGTTTTGGAACTGTAGATCCGCGTCGTCCTAATTCGTTACGGCGGGGTTGGCGGATTTGACTGGTCGGCACGATGTTGATATCTTGTCGGGTTCTACACCGCTGATCGATATGTAGGCCGTAAATCGGTTGCAGCATTCCGTGTGGTTTGAGACGGAATGTTCGTTTGTTGACTGGCCGAGCGTGCCTGAAGACCCGTTCGTAGATCTTAGGAACGAGACTGAGTAATCGCTTGTTGCTTTGCGGCAGGCGTTGGTAATGGCCTGAACGGCAAATCACCACAGTTCCAGGAACCGCGATTCGGAGAGTCTGAGGTTGATTTGAGCGCTGCTGATCCCCTTGTCGCGCGATGAATGGCGGTGGTAGTGGACTCCAGTCTTCCCCTTGCTTTTCCACCTGCAGAGCAGCAAGTGCGAGAGCAGCTACCGCAAAATTACGGTGATCGGGACTGTCCCAGTCCCCGTCAACCCTTTCACCTAGAAATTTATGGTACCGTGGATTTTTTTGCGCATCCTCACACCTCATCACCTGCTTCGTCCACTCCTGGAAAGTTGATTGTTGTAGAAGATTCGTGGGAGTGTGATGATGAACATCAATATCCCAACCGTAAGGGTTCTTCTGGCAGGGGTCCTTATCAGTAGTCAGCACGAGTGCGTTGAGAACACAGGAATATCCGCGTTGCTTCAGACTCACAAAGAATAACCTCCCGTTCCGCGTTGGTATCACGACGTAAGTCGTGTTCCCTTGGTCCAGTCGCGGATCCTATTGTATTTATATATATGTTTATTTACATACCTCGAGGGTACATATATATAGAGAGAGGAAAGAAGATGGAGGAGGATAGGCGGAGTTGTGAGGTTGAGGATGAAAAAAATCAAAAGGAGGGGGAGAGGAGGGCCCTTATATACCCGTCAGTTCTCACTAGCTGGACTAGTTTGGCCGTGAGACATGCCCAAGACATTGTTATTCACAGATTTCAGGTGTCGAGGCAATCCACTCTACGTGAGACATATGCAGCCACCCAAGCCTTTGTCAAAGGGATGAATTCAGTGCAAGACATTACACGGCAAATTCTTCACGAAGTCACACGACAATTCATCCTTGCATGGTACACACACATTGACAGCAATGAAACACTTCCTGGAGAGAATTCACACACGGATAGCGGTGAGATACTAATACCGGACGGAACGGCTATCAATGGTGGTCATATCTCTATCGAGGTATCATCTGTCTCTGACGTCATGTGAAGAATTGGCAGGCGACCGATTGCCTCCCTGAGAGTGAAGACTGCCTCAAAACATGAATAAAGCACCCAGTGAGGTGTGAAGGAGACTCCGTAGGTAGAACGTGAAGTAATCAACGGACCGATGAAGGCAACGAACCAGCTTCTAGACTCTGCATGAACAAGAAACACAGAATACAACACTCGATGTCTCATCTTCACTTACTTCCTCCGCCAACATTGCATCGCCTCGTGAATTGAACAATCGGGCAAATCGTGAATAGCAAAACGAATAGTGTCTCGTGAGCCTAGTGTTTGTGTCACCTGACAACATAAAGAGGGAAAAAGCTAATTTGTCGGTGAGACATGTCGAAATGAATGCTTCCATCACCGCTCGTCAACGGATGTGTTACCAATCACTACAAAAGGACTTGTGTACATAGTATCTGTGGCAGTTCTGATCATGGGATTTACCCAGCCGCATATACGATGACACTGATGGTAAAACAGCATGTGATAGGAGCCCACCTGTGTGCTCTGATTCACAAACGTAGACGGCGCTGAGAAATGGCGAAGAATACGTACTATTGGCTTAGCCTTAGAAGACAATACGTCTATATCATTCCGGCGTGGAACTGTGTGATTGAAGCTTGTCATCCGCACTATGAATTCGGCAAGTTCGGTATGTCAATCTCGTGGCGAATCTCACGATAGAATTCTCTAAGCCGCGGATGTTGAGCAAAGAGAGTAGAATGTTGGGGTAAGGGGAGCTGTATTTGGGCGTCATCTTCAAGGTGTAATCCATCTCTCTCAAAATTTCCAGCAGCTTGGTGCATCTCTGCAGTGCTCTTTCTGAAATCTCCAAAAATCCTCAGCTTGTGAGATTGCTTGTTCTAAGCCCAATTACATGTTCACACATTTGTACAACCTGTCTTCTAGGAATCTGGGAACGGGGAAGTGGGTGTATATGTCTGAGCTTCATGGCAATGGTGAACGATCTGAAACGATTTGCCTCAGGTTTGATGCAACAATCAGCTTTCGATCGCTGCTGATGGTGACTGGGTCCTCTCGAGTCAGGTAGAGGCCCACCGTATCACTTGTATTTCAATCTTTCTCGTATCTTACAAACTGTTGTCATTCAAACCATGCCACGGTTTGGCAAGTGCTCATGCAGGCGACACGGCTGATTCGAAGCCTTCGTCCAACCTAGGTTTCGCCTCAATTATTTCGTCAGAGCAGGAACGCTGCTGTACTGCGAGAGGTTGGGCGCCTTGGGTGACTGATATCATCGTCTCCTCTTGGAATGAGCTGCTGACTGTCGTTGAATAGAGCATTGCAGGGGTGGACTCATATGACGACATGAGGGAAGGTCCGGATGAGGTATTTATCCAGCAGCCATCGTCAGCTTGTCGGTAGCGAAAGGCCCTCGTTGATCTGTCAGAACTTACGGCCGAAGGTCACCTAGTTTCTCGGTATCGTGCATTTTTGGGCGGGTAGGAGTAAGTAACGCGTCAGTAGATTAGCCATTGACTGTAGCATTCACTGTATCTCAAGTAAGAAGGAAAAAGGGCACCAAGACCAAAATAGATTTTCGGGAACACTAGTCCTAAATTGGTGGTAACACATCTCATTATACGCACTGCAAGTATCTGAATACAACAAGCAACACTTTTTAAGGGTCTCTCTTCTCAAATCCATCGATAGCTGCAGCTCTTGTCAACTAAGCCCATTCTCGAATGCTCATCGCCCAAACTCTCTTGTGTTGCTGAGAGCCAATAGAAATCAACTTCCCTCCAACTCCAGCCAGTCATGAGCTGAGACGACCTCTACACAAAGATACGTGACGAATTCAGGCGAAGGCGCTCAGGGATGAATGCCCTGGACGATGCGAAGATCACCACACGTCCCAAATTACCAAACGTTCTAACACCTGGGTGCCTGAGCTCAGATCTTGACAAAAGGAAGGCCGCTAGAACCAATCCTGTTACCCAGAAGGTACAGGTATCTCTGGTGACTGAACGTTCTAGTCAAGATTTTAGCAGAGAGTCATCGCACTAATAGTCAGAATCTGACAACTGAATTGGGCAACGCAGACTTGCTTGTGGAGGAATCTTAATCGTGGTGCCTGACGAGCTAGCTAGACAGAGCAGGCTGCTTCATCACGCTCATACCAGGCAACCCTTAAGCCGCGGGAAAGCCAAAAGCTAGATACGTTCTACGTCGTACCGTCTCCTTCGAGCACTGACAACCTGAAAGACAGCACGGGAAAGGCGCCTTTGCCGGCGCCATGACCTTACGTCTCCAGGACAGGCCATACATGTCATGGAGACCCTATCACGGCAAGCGCCAATTTTCAAAGCGCATCAACGAGTCACAAAGTCAGGAGCCTCCGCCAAGCTGTCAATTGTTCAAAAGAGACGAGGGTCCACAAGAAAGAACCGTCCTAGCGTGTGTTGTGTCGTGCCTTCTAAGGACGTAAGAGAAACAAAGACAAGGAAGCGGGCAGATTATGAATGCGCCCATAAGCTAGATAGTAATGCGAGCGAAATTTCAACGTGCATCATGGAGTGCACCTACAAGAGCGTATGGCTTTCATATTCCAGCTTCTGAGTCATTGAGGATATCTCGGGGCAAGCTGGTGCAAAAAAGGCAAAAGCGCGTAGCGCAGTACATTATGGAAAAAAATGTCAGATTGGCCATCATTGCGGAGCTTCTTAAATCCAAGAACCGCGTGATTCCCTCAACGGCTCGGCTCATCCAGACGACAACCTTGCCTCAGCCACGGCAGCGCAAGATTGCCGTTGAGTGGCCTCAGCCATTCTCCAGAAGCCTCGGTTTGCATGTCTCAAGGGCTGGTTACTGCCTCGAGATGTGTATGCGCGTTGGCGAGACCTTATTTCTGCTAGTTTTTCCACTAATACGATGAAAGACAGAGGGTCCAAGAATGCATACCCATATCCGTCGAGCAGCGAGAAAGAGTGTTGATGGCTCTGGCCAGAAAGCGTGACAAGACTTTCGGCACAATCCTTATCCAAGGAGCAGGGAGGTATCCGAAAGTCTCGAGGCGTGAAGTAGTGCTTACGGCTGTCGCAGAATCTGCAGGCTACGCTTCAAGAGCATACTCCCCCGCCCTCTCCCATCATCTCTCCCTCCGTCAATTTCGTTTCACTCACCTCTAATTCTTTAGGCCGTGTCGTCACTTCAATCCATGACCCCTGTTTTCTGATAGTGGCTCGTAGGACATGATGACATTTGATTTCATGGCAGGAAGTCAGGATGAAGTTCAAAACTTTGGTTAGGTGATAAATGGGGTCACTGCCAGTTCGGACATTCTCGGGTGCAAGCCCTCGGGACAGTGAAATGCAGCAATTTGTTGAGTAGCAAACCTGATTGGGTTGTTGACTCTTGCCACCTTGCGGGGTTATAAGGAGCTGTAGGTCAGATAGCTTCCTCTCTTCTTCAATGCCATACAACATAATGATAAGTCTATCACAATCCTTTATTCGCAGATATCAGATTATCCGTCCGACAATCTGAACTGCAGTAACCCCTCCTACCCTACCCCGCTTTCGCCCCCCTCGCTACCAATATACCCTCCCAAGAAGCCCCCGACTTTGCCCTTCCGGCGGTATCTTGAATGTTTCTTCTGTAGAGACCTATATTCCTCGATCCAAGCTTTCGGCGACATGAAGAGGCATCGGTGCGATTCGCCCTCGAGACACCCCCATTATAACAAGCGCCGCCATCATGACCTGCTCACGAGTGGCCCATCCAATCAGGAAGATAGTAACGACCACCAGTGGATCAGCGATGGAGACACTCCAGACAAGCGAAATGCTGTTCGCATTCAGCTATTTCAGTCACGTAAAGAGAGACTAGTCTTTCAGCACGAGGAGGTGGAGTTCAAAGAGTACAACGAGCGCCCCGATCCAGCAGAAATGTTCAAAGAGGATTTACTGCAGAGTCCCCAAGAGCGAGACGCAGTCCGCAGATATAACGAACAGGCCAGTCAAATGAACGACAAGGCAAAAATATTCCACTGTCCGAGTACCTTATTGTATGGAATATGCAATCTTCCGCAATGTCCCTACATGCACACATGTGCTAGAGCCAAATCAGTCCGTGAGCCCCATTCTCTATACGTTTCGTAACTAATTAAGGATAGGAATGCAGATGTGCGATGCCCCACACGGGGGAAGGGTGCAGAGTCTGGACTGTTAATAATAGGCACTGCGTCATGCAGGGCTGTGGCAGCGAACACGCGCATAACATCCTGATGTTGGTCAAGATGAGAGAATATAGGGCATTCTATCAGGAGCGATATCACGTCTTGTGAGACTAGATCTAATGTGTATTATGTTTCAGTTCACCATTCATGTCCGCTAGCCAAGTCTATAACACTGTGACGTGAAATTTGAGGTCTGTACCTGGGCCATGTGACGCTGAAAGCGTTCACTGCCATGGATCTCGCCAAGCTTGTATCTCGAGTGTTTTCGTGATATTAGATAATCGCGGTTAAATCTGGCCTCTACCAAAGGATCTCATACATGCATATAAGACGAACAAAGCTCTTCACACATCAACCGTCCAACTTGGTACTATCTGCGATTTGAGTCCTTCACCTTTCCCGAAGGATATCTGGCTGCAGCCTATTGCCAGTCTTTTGGGCCTCTTGATGATGCTGCTGCTAGTCTCTTTACCGTTCGTCATACCATTGCCGTGAGATTAAATAGATGCGCAGGACCCTATCAGCAAATCTTTCAACGGCGACGTGAGTACCATTGCTCTGAAGAACTGCCCCCTTCTGTTCGCCAACTGACGATGTCTTTACATTGATGGCAGACCTGTAGGATACGACGGCTGCATGCCTCTCCCGCTACCTTACCGTGGCATCTACTTCAGCGGCTTTCAGAGCTGCAAGTCTTCCTCTACCAGTAACGCCAACTTCTACAGCGCCCCAAACATTGGTACGTTCACCGAGGTCACCGCTTTCAAAATTTCAAGATCTGCTCCCATTTTCCGTGTTCTAGCTACTCGTCTTTGCACATCACCGCCCACGCTGGCAAAGTCGGCGCTTACGGACTTGATAGATACAGCTCAAGAGCCATCGCCTAGGAAGAGTTCAACGGGTTGATCGCCTACCCTATGAATTGCGAGCATTTCACTAACTTTGCCGCCTCACAGAAGCAAAACTCCCATGCCACTGTGATTTTGCTGATGCCATGGGCAACAGACAGCATGAGAATGCCTTCAGTGTTGGAATTATGCGATCATTGCGCTCGCTACAAAGTGTCAGGAGGAAGAGCAGAGAGATTTCCTTACGCTCATTCCAATGGTGCAATTTCGGATTTTCAAGTTTGACTTCAACTTGTTTGACGATGCTGGGTTGGCAAGTGTCATGGTTTCAAGATCCAATTATTGATCGTACCGAGACATCATTACATTTTTATCGATTTTCAATGTCATGGTTTCATCTCAAGAAATGCTTTCGGATACCTGCATGACACTAGCCTGCTTACGGTTAGCCTGAAGAGCCTCTTTTGCTGTGTCATGCCCACGTCACCTCAGCTCACTACACTTCACCTTATTACACTTTACCTTACTACACTTTACCTTACCACACTCCAGCTCACCAGAGTTCAGCTTACCACGCTTCAGCTCACCACACTTCAGCTCACCACACTTTAGCTCGTCACCCCTCATCGACCTACCTCATGAAAAGATATCCAGAGCTGTCCAGTCGATCTGTCTTTCGCCAATCAGTCTGGTATCCTCTCATCTTTTCAC